AAGAGTGAGATAGTAAGAAGAACAAGGTGTAAACAAAAAATATAAAGTGGACAGAAGGATAGTCAGAGAAAAAGAGAGAGAGAGAGACTCCCTAATCACCTGCTGCGGTTGCGTAAGCCAGAGCGTGTTTGGAAATGGGCAGCGATATGTGTGTAATGGCAGCTATGTGTGCTATGCAGGCCGTGTCACTGAGAGGAGGCCGTGTGCGAGTCCGGCTCTGGAGGGTGTAGTTCTTCGTGCCTTCATGTTCCTTTTTTGTGGTCTGAAAGTTTCTGACAGACATTTTAATGTAGCGCATGCATGGACAATCCCTTAAGGCGCGTTCCAGACGAGCCCATACTGTCCCTTCATTCCAGACTAGCCTTAGCCTGAAAATACAAAAATACACAGGCATGTGTTCATGGCAGTGCATGCATTAGTACAGCTGGCCATGAGGGACAAAGAGCAGCGGCCTTTCAGACGCTAACTCAGGCCTGCTGATGCTGTAGAACAGCAGGGATGCATGAAATGTTGTTGTTGCATCTTGGTCATTCTACAGAAACGTCTCCATAGGAGTCACTGGTGTTACTGATCCTCATTGGTGTTACACATAATAAAGGGAACACCAGAGACATTTTTAATGAACAATGCATTTTACAGAATAGCTGCTACAGAGCATCAAACCACATGTTGTCAATCATGGAATATCCACTAAAATATGGAATTTAATCCATTTGTGTTCTATTTTTTTCAGTTATCTAAGAATAAAGTCGGTCACACCAGTGACTTCAGCTAAAAGCTTCATATGAAATCATGAGCTGAATGAGAAAATCTCTGATAACTGAAAGACTCAGTGGACTCACCATGTGCTTTTCTTCATAGATCCTCAGAAAACAGGTAAAAGGAGGTCGAGTGATGTCATCAGTGTGACTTTTATTTCAAAATAAGAGATTTTTTGTTACGCAGTAACACCAGTGACACGACTCCTGGGGACCACAACTTTCATTATATGTTTTCTTTGTCATTGAAATCATATGTTTCATAGTCATGTATAGATTATAGCAGTTCAAACAGCAGAAAAACGTTTTATACCTCAAAATATGGCCTCACCCGTCCCACGTTCTAGATAATTGATTTATAAACCAATATTGTTAAATTGAGGCTCAACAAGGGTGTAATTGTTGAAATAACTTAGTTTTATTTAATAATATAAATAAATTGTAACCCTAACATGTTTTTCAAGTGTAATAGATCTGTAAACGGTAGGGACACAAAAATGGACGTCTCTGTAGAATGACCGAACTATACGTTTTACTTCGTTTTTATGTAATAAAATCCTGTATTTAAGTATTGTGATGATACTCTTATTTGATTGTTAAATTTTAGCTGGAAACAAAGGGGTTAATTTCTGTAGCCAGCCAACAGAAAATAATCCAGTCAGGATTGTTTTGTCTTTGATATTCAGGTAGCCAAGCGAGCTCTCCCATTGGTTAGGACTTCAGGAGCTGGACTGACATACTTTCAACATTTACTACCAACATAATTATGAAGGTTATAAGGAAGACAGTGATTATGAGCCATAGTCTAAGCAATGTTCCGGGTAGTTGTTAGGAATGTTAAACAGCGGAGGCAGCTCTATACCAGGACACTTTACTGAAAGAGTCAGTGTGAAACTGATACATACAAGCTTACGTATGTTGATGTCTGGTAGAACGCATGGAGTGTCTTTTATTAGCTTGAAATGTCTGTATTTAATCTATTGTGGCGTTTAGCTTAGCGACAACACACCACAGGAATCCCAAATCTAGTAGTCGCGGTTCACCACTGGTTTATATATAGATCCATGTACACTTTCTTTAAAGAACCTTTTTTTTAAGGTACTAGGTATCATACCATCTGACTAAGCAGCTACAGACACGACAGCATCGGACTGTAATCTTTATGTTTAAGCTTAATTACACGTTTGTGGCCAAATTGAAGACGACAGTATATGACAACCATAACATTTACTGAATTAGATAGATAAAACTTTATTGATCCTGAAGGGAAATAGCATAGCATGTTATAGTAGCAAGACATATAATTGCAACTAACATAAATTAGACAGAAATAAAAATAGGAATAAAAATAGACATAGAATTATTTAATTATTTAATTATCATTGTGCTAGTATGTTCTTTTATTTCACAAAACTAAGAGAGTCCTCTTCAGTGTTAGGGACAGTCTCAAAATTTCTGGAAGAAAAGTTATTGAAAGTCTTATTAGTATAAAAAGTAGTAATAGTGCAAGTATCTTTGTAGGTACATCTGCTGATGCTTTTGAATACATCCTCAGTGATGTTGAGTGGAAGCATCAGCAGATGTACTTGCAGAGATATTAATGATGGCAACACTTGTTTTCTTCAGGTCATTTTGAGACGGTGCCTAACTCTGAAGCAACTACAGGAGCAAACATTGATAGCATATGATTTGAAACTTGACCTTTGTTGAATAAAAAGTAAAGCAAAGGGAAAGAACACTCTCTCACACACACACACACACACACACACACACACACACACACACACACACACACACACACACACTCAGAACCTGGTTTACCATGGTTATTTTTTCACACGGTTATCCATATAAGAGGATCCTGTAACTGGTACAGGCCCATTTCAGATGCAGGATTACACACGTCTGCATTTCTCAACAATGACTGGAATGACTATCGTTCATTTATGCTTTAAGCTCAAGTGAAAGATGCACAAAAGTACATTTGTAAGGTTTTACTCTGGCCTGAAACATCTTAAGTATTTATCTTCAGCACTTAAAGGATTTAGATCTTAATTTAAAGCTGTAATTTTAAGTGTCAGAAATGCTGACGCTCACTTAAGCTAGAGAGAAACATTAAGGCCCAAATTCACTTATGGTGTTTCATGCAGGTGATCATAGCCTTATTTTTCATCCAAGAACATCTGTATTCTGTCCATTTTCTCTGTATTAAGGCTTGAACACTGAATGTAGTGAGCTCACGCGGTTTGCATGAGTGCTGTGTTATAGGGCTAAATTTCCTCTAATAAAAGAGAACTCCACCGATTTTTTTAAAATTTCTGTACAATTAAATGCATAAGATGTAAACAGAGTGGTTCAGAGTGGTTTGGTGTGAAACGCTCCATTCCAGAGAAACTTACCGAGTCAGAATTGTTCACAGTTGTGGTGATAGGAACCAGACGTCCACCTCTAAAAGCTCCCTCACAGAAAGTTACTACATGAAATGGTTATGAATTCACTGCCTGATGACTTAAAACAAGCTTTATAAATACCTTCCTGGTGGAGGGATACATGCAGAATGTTATGAGGCAAAATAGTGCCTTATTTTTTCAGATTGTCCACTATTTTTCCATCATTAATATTCCATATACACTCAGAAGACTCGTGTAGGTTCACTGGTGGTTTTGGACAGTAAATAAAATGTCTATATTTATCTTGTAGTCATGGCGACCCCTGGTTCCTATCACCACCACTATAAGGAAATCTGAACCACTTCACACCAAACCACTGTGAATCCCAGGAACGTGCGCTTGGTGGTTTGCCTACATAGAAGAAATAGCTGAGATTAGTAATTTGCTCTTGGTGAGATCACATGGCGGAGCCCGCATTGTTTTTAAAAGCATCATTTCCTTCAGTGACTGTGTTTGTAACTTCAGAGCGGGTTTGTAATTGTGTGTGTTGTGATTATGGGTTAGTTCAGGCCGTCCTGTGTTGAAGTGTGACTTGGCTGCCTGCCAGGCTGTTATCCTGAAGAAGGAAACACCTGTTACACACACAGGTACACATCTCTGTGTGTGTGTGTGTGTGTGGTAAATGATCTGCTGTGGGAGAGGTGTGGACGTGTGGGAAAATAGAAAGAGGAAAAAAAAAAGCTGAGAAATAAAACCCGAGCTCATGGCCTCTGGCCTCTTCTGCTGCTCCTCAGTGGAGAATAAAGCTGAGAACATCTGAGAGAACTCAGACTGTGTTCTCAGATAAACGGGAGCACTGAAACACAAACCTGACACCACTTATTCGCAGCGCATGTTTTCAGCCACGTGAATGAATGAATGTAAATTCAGGAATATAAATGAATGATGCAGAGATTTTAACCTTATCAGGTTTTTGGATAACGACATAGATGTTACAGTGTGGAAAAACACAGACAGATATCAGATATGTCTTTATATGGCCACTAATTTTTCAAAATTTCTGCATAATTAAGTGCTTAAGATGTAAACAGAGTCATTCAGAGCGGTTTGGTGTGAAACTCTCTGTTCTACATAAACTTACCGAGTCAGAACTGTTCACAGTGGTGGTGATAGGAACCAGACGTCCACCTCTAAAAGCTCCCTCACAGAAAGTTACTACATGAAATGGTTATGAATTCACTGCCTGATGACTGAGACACTGTTTCATGATAGTTTTGTAATAATTTAACATATTTTAACACACATGCTGGCGGAGGGATACATGAAGGGCGTTGTGAGGCAAAAATAGTCCGCAAAGAAACTTATCACTTCAGATTTTCCACTATTTTCCATCATCAACATTCCATATAAACTCAGAAGACTTGTGTAGGTTCACTGGTGGTTTTGGATAGTAAATAAAATGTCTATATTTGTGTTGTAGCCATGGCGACCCCTGGTTCCTATCACCACCACTGTAAAGACATCTAAACCATTTCACACCAAACCACTCTGAATCACTCTGCTTACATCTCACTCACTGAATTATGGGGGGAATTTGAAAAATTGGTGGAGTTTCCCTTTAAAGCTGGAATGAGTCAGATGTTTTCTGATACCTTTTATTCCTAAAGAAGAAACATAATCTTGTCAAATCACTGCGAAGTCAGAGATTTATGCCACTAATATTGACGTATGGCTGTGTGTAGTTTGTTTATTTGTTTATTATTTAATTAATTGTTTATTGATTGTGTTTATGCCTGCACTGTTGTGTTTTATCAGGATGTTTAAAGCTCTGTTCTTCTACCTCCTCTTCCAGGTGCTGAAGGCTGATTGGTCGGTTGGTCGGCATGGCGTCCTCAGTGAAGGTGGCGGTGCGTGTGAGGCCTTTTAACAACCGCGAGACGAACCGCGGAGCGAAGTGTGTGATTCAGATGCAGGACAAGTCCACCTGTGAGTTTAAGACACAAGCATGAACATGTCTTGTTGTGGCTGTTAAAAATGATTGAAATCTCCAAATTAGTAACTTTATAAAATGAATAAACTTCTTTCTTAAGAACTTTAATGTGCATTAATGTAGCAAGATGTAATTTTGTAGCGTTTCTGTTGGTCCGTTCATCACAGCTGGTATTTAAAAATGTGTAAAAACGGTACAGTGACCAAAAATAATGGAGGTACATGGTTTCTGTATGACTGCAATGGTGTGTGTGTGCGTGTGTGTATATATATATATATATATATATATATATATATATATATATATCCTTTTTGGCATTCTTTGTGTGTTTTAGCGATGCTCCCTGAAAGGTCTGTAGAGTAACAGGTCTGTAGAGGCTCTGAGGTGACGCTGCCTTTGTAGCGGGACTCACTAATCCTCGCGAACACCGCAGTGCATTATGGGTATCCCCTATCTCCTAGGGTGCATCGGTTTTACACTACTTATAGGCCCTTTTCACAATAAACAGAAGTGCGTAAACGCTGAGTAAAACAAGTTCCGCTCTTGCCTTACGGACAGTTACTAACCTCAGACATACAGGCGTTCATATCACTTCAGCCACCGTAGGTGTGTCACTGTATCTTTGTCGTAGTTGCCAAGATTGATATTCGAGGATGAGCCCAGAACTGTCGGAGAACCAAACACACAGCAATAAAGGGCTAAATACAGGACTTAATGAAGGATATAAATGATTTGTGGAAAACTCCTTTAGAGCTATCGGAGCACAGCAACATCACCTAACGTCTATAGAGTGATGAGTCAGTGGAGATGAAAATAACTATATCTGAAATGTTAGATTAGCCATGTTAGCTGGAGATGCTGAAACAGCTCGCTAACAATAAACTAGTTAAAGCAGCAAAAAGCTAAACGCACACACATCCCTGCAGGGGGGCCCGCCAGGTCGTCAGGGTCTGCAGCGCCACTGGAGACGGTTTATTATTTGCATTTATATTCACTCCAGCTGGTTTCCTGATATGTTTAATCTGTAAAAAGAAACTGTCAAACACTAAAAAGTCTCAAGGCTGAGTTCGGCTTCGTGTCCAAATTTTTCCGTTCGACCTTAAATGGTGCAGCAGTTACATTCTGGTGGCTCAGGCACCATTTAAGGTGGAACCACCGGCACCAGTGAACGAACATCTGCTCCCTGCTGAGTGGTCACTCTCTCAGATACTGTCAGCTTTAGAGGGAGAAAATGAAAACCGTTCCTCTGAAAGCGGCTGAAGCAGTGAGTTGTATGTGCTCTACTTTTTAAATACATTCCTGGTGGAGGGATACATGCAGGATGTTGTGAGGCAAAATAGTGCCTTATTTTTTCAGATTTTCCACTATTTTCCATCATCAACATTCCATATAAACTCAGAAGACTCGTGTAGGTTCACTGGTGGTTTTGATAGTAAATAAAATGTCTATATTTGTGTTGTAGTCGTGGCGACCCCTGGTTCCTATCACCACCACTGTAAAGAAATCTGAACCACTTCACACCAAACCACTATGAATCCCAGGAACGTGCGCTTGGTGGTTTGCCTACATAGAAGAAATAGCTGAGATTAGTCATTTGCTCTTGGTGAGATCACATGGCGGAGCACGCATTGTTTTTAAAAGCATCATTTCCTTCAGTGACTGTGTTTGTACTCATCATTATTGCTATTGTAATTGCTTTAGCTGAAGCAGCGTCACCCTATAATGACTACTTCCTGCAGAAAAAATGCGGGAATGTGAAAAGGGCCTGTTGCAGTGCATTGTAGGATGTAGTGCACTGGATCTTGCGCACTGTTTTCATACACCACTAAAAAACAGTGGAACCCCAAAATAGTGCACTATGTAGTGAATAGGGTGCACGTTCTGACATAGCGTGGGAGTGCTCCTGCACCCTCAGCACCCCCACTTCCCGCATCCCTGCTGTGCAGCATGCTGTTTTGTTTTTTTTGCTCTTTAATGGCAAAATAGTGGGCCAGTGCAGTAAAGCAGAAACATAAGCCAGGCCTGCTTCTCTGATCAGACCCAGTTAAACGCTGTTGGCAGCTGTACTGATTTCACAGCGCTGTACCAGCTGTGCTCTGTTGCTGATGAAGTGCTACGTTAGCTGCTCTATGCTAGCTGCTCTCCATTAGCTTTGGTAAAGAATCCCAGCTATCGTCTGTGTTAGCTTTGTGTGCGGAGTTAGCTTTGTGTGCTGAGTTGCTGTATTAGCCTCTGCACTGTGCTGGTAATGGAAATGCTACGCTAGCTGGTTTGTGTTAGCGTTGACCACACGTTCTCCTACATTCTCCTCCTCTTACACAACATTTCCACCGTTCTTCCAGAGGTGTGGAACCGTTATACTCCTCACTTCTCAACCCGTCCCCCCCTCCTTCTGTGTTTAAACATTAAAGCAGAATTCCTACTCCTCTTTTCCTCTCACTCTTCATTCCTTCCTCTTTTCCCCTCTCCCACCCTTCCTCCCCTCCCTCTCTCTCTCTCTCTCTCTCTCTCTCTCTCTCTCTCTCTCTCTCTCTCTCTCTCTCTCTCTCTCTGTTTCTATGTAAAGAATCTGAGGGGCTGGCCGTGTGTTTGGTTTGACCTCTCTCCAGTACAAACAGAACACAGACGTGTGTGTGTGTGTGTGTGTGTGTGTGTGGTTCTCCTCCGCCCTGACTTTCCTTCAAACACTTCACCTTTCACACTGATCCAGGACCAGCTTTCTAATGTAAAACCCAGACTGTTTGCTGTGTGGAGGAATCATCAGAAACTAAAACGGTTCAGTGTTGAAATGATTCAGCCTGATGATGATTCTTTTTTGAATGGATTCAGTCTTGTGACTCTTCAGACTCAATACGATGCCAGTCTCAAACCAAATTCAGTTTGAAACAGTTCAATCTCAAAATGATTCAGTTGCTGGATGGTTCAGTCTCACAACAAATAATCTCAAAAATTTGGTCTCAGAAGTGTTCAGTCACAGAATGATTTGATCTCAAAAGTGTTCGATCTCAGAACGATTTGATCTGGAAAAAGTTTTCAGTCTCAAAATGATTCAGTCTCGAGATGATTGTCTCATATATGTTCAGTCTCAGAATGATTCAGTCTGAAATGTTCAGTCTCAGAACAATTCAGTCTGAAAAATGTTCAGTCTCAGAACGATTCAGTCTGAAAAATGTTCAGTCTCAGAACGATTCAGTTTCAAAAGTGTTCAGTCTCAGAATGATTCAGTCTCAAAATGTTTGTTTAAAAATGAATCAGTCTCAAAATGATTCAGTCTTAGAATGATTGTCTCAAAAGGGTTCAGTCTCAGAACGATTCAGCCTCAAAAGTGTTCAGTCTTAAAACGATTCAGTCTCAAAAGTGTTCAGTCTTAAAACGATTCATTCTCAAAATTGTTCACTCTCAGTGATTCAGTCTTAGAACAGTTCAGTCTCGAAGTAGTTCAGTCTCACAACAATTAAATATCAAAACAGTTTATTCTCAATATGGTTCGGTCTTGAAACATGCAAGTCTCAGACACGATTCAGAAATCTCAGATTTCAACACAGTTTGATTAGATTTGATTCATTTTGTTTGCTTTGGATTTTTTTTTTAAATAAAAATATACACAGCTGAATACACAACTATACCTAACGATGGAGCTATTTATACACTAGTGAAGTATAAACTATAAAAAAAATACAGCAAGATTTATGTATTTATTTTATTGGAAAATAGTCTTTTTTGTAAGTTGTGGCCAAAAAAAAATGAGCTCACACTTGAGTCGAATATTGACTATTACGATCAGTTCTCTAACATTCCACAATCAATGCTTTTTCACAGCCTTACAAAGAGGCCACTGTCTCTAAAGCCTCAATACCACAGACAGACAGAGAGAGAGAGAGAGAGAGAGAGAAAGGCCCACTCAGAGGTTCTATAGGCTGTGAATGGAGTCTCTATGGAGAGGAAATCTTGCTCTGCTGGAGTGTGTGCAGTGTTAAGATCGTTGGCCTGTGTGTGTGTGTGTGTGTGTGTGTGTGTGTGTGTGTGTGTGTGTGTGTGTGTGTGTGTGTGGATGGGTATTGACTCTGTCAACACTGCAAGGTGTGTTTGCAGCCATGCTATTGTTAAACTGACAGATGAGAGCATATTTTAAAAAGAAGCACAAAAATAAGAAGGAAATGGTGGTTAATTAAGGCTTACAGCATCATTAATTAATTTACAATGACTTGTTGCTCTTATCACTGTGCCTTTAAGACACATATATATGTAAATGAGCTCTGTTCTGATTGGCTGTCCTGTATTGAGCCTTGTTCAGAAAGCAGTCCGGGCTGAAACACTCCTTATAACTTCAGTGTAAATGGACAGAGCTAAACTGCAGATATGTAAATATGATGTGTGTGTGTGACCTCACAAAAACAGTGATTTCAAAATAGATTTACGAGGTTTACAAATGACAGAGATGAAAGGAAAATGTGTCTAAAGTTTGCATTGTCAGTTTTGTTATAAAAAATACAGGGAAGAAACTCTTGATTGCAGTTTTTGTCTGATATTTAATGTTTGATTTGTTTGTGTTTCAGGCATCATCAATCCTAAACAGCCCAAAGATGCACCAAAAAGCTTCACCTTCGATTATTCCTATTGGTCACACAGCACGGTAAGCTGCTTCCATTGGTTAACGAACTTCGCCACTGATGGATAAAACTTGAAAAACGTTCAGTTTGAAACACTTCAGTCTCAAAAGTGTTCAGTCACAAAACGATTCAGTCTCAGATGTGTTCAGTCACAAAACAATTCAGTCTCAAAAGTGTCAATCACAAAAAACAATTCAGTCTCAAAACTGTTCAATCACAAAAAAGATTCAGTCTCAAAACCGTTTAATCACAAAACGGTTCAGTCTGAAACTGTTCAGTCACAAAATGATTCAATCTCTGAGTGGTTAAGTCTCAAAGCAGATCACCCACACAACTCAGATCAGTCTTAAAAGTGTTCCAGCTCAAAGACTTGTTGAAGTGTTGATTCTCGGACACGATTCAGTCTCAGAGCAATTTAATGAAAAATGAAATCTCAGATTTCACCACAGTTTGATTACAATAGATTTTCCTAAACAGCCCAAAGATGCACCTAAAAGCTTCACCTTTGATTATTCCTATTGGTCACACAGCACGGCAAATCGCTCTCATTGGCTAACGAACTTCACCACTGATGGATAAAACTTGAAAAACAGCTTGTGGTTTGCTGTCGTGTCATTTACTGAAACATTTCATACGTGAGGATTCGTTGTTCACAGCGAACGATACGCTGCCTGTCGCAGTTTTGGAGATACCAAGCGTTTTAAAATGTTTTTAAGTGATCAGGTTTTCTTCGTTGATCTCCAATAACTTATCGTATTAACCCTCAGAACCCGAAGTCTGCACTTTGCAGGCAGAAATACAGGTCACTTCTAGCCTTCATAACTTCAGAACGGCTTCAGACATGATCCACATATCAGCCAGACCAGCAGACCCGTCTCAAACTGGCTAGCATGATGTTGTCGAGCCAGAAAATCACCCAAAAGCCTGACATTATTGCTCTGCTTTTAGCCCTCAAATTCCAACAAAGGGTTAAAACAGCGATGTGATTCACATCAGATCATCATCAGACTCTGCCTCACCATCCAGAGTGATTTCACCCCCCTGTGACCATCTATCAGCCAGCAATCCAGCTCACCCAGAACCCACTCACTACTATATTACATCTCTGCTTTTACTTTTCATATTGTAAACAAAGACTTAAAAATAGCGACATGATTCACAAATCTGAAGTCAGCAGAGTGACGTCACTAGCCAGAGTGAGAGAAACCAGCTTTAACATCCCACAACCCAGACATACAGCACAAACACACAGCTGGATCACTGTAAAACCTGCTATTAGCTCTCTGATTTAGCTTTCATACGGCAGCAAAAGGGTTCAACGGGAAGCCTTTTAGATCTTAACATTTCTTTTCATGTAAAGCTGACAAAACTGCAGGAACAGCTGCTAAAAGACCCCTATTTTGGAAATAAAGCCTAAGGTTTTGCATTTTCTCCCCTTATTGTGATGTCAGCACTCATCAGCACTCAGACCTTTCAGGTGTATTAAGTACTTTTGGGCCAGAAGAGTTTTAATATTAATTTTTAAAGTAGTCTAGAAAAGAAAACTGTCAGATCATCACTTTCTCTTCATACCAAGAAGAGGCTGTGATGAACACGAAGCTGAGATAAATGTACACAAAGCACAGAGCTGCTTATGATGAACTAAACCTTCACATTTTGTTCTTATTTAAAGGGGAACTCCACCAATTTTTCAAAATGTCTGCATAATTCAGTGTGTGAGATGTAAACAGAGAGATTCAGAGTGGTTTGGTGTGAAATGGTTCAGATGTCTTTACAGTGGTGGTGATAGGAACCAGGGGTCGCCATGACTACAACACAAAAGTTATGACACAGTTTATACTGAAATATTTTATATGTAAGCAAATAAATATAAATTGTGCAGTGAAACGTGCAGAAAAATGCCCATATTTAAATGCGTTCAATGTAGAGGACGTGTTAACTTATTTATATCTATAAAATCAACAAAACATGTAATATGTAAGTTTAAACTTTTGTGTACGACTCTGTAGCACAACGATAAGTTATAGGTCTATTAAAGTGAGCTCCCTCGCTGTGCCGCAGGACGAGGACCCGGCGTTCGCGTCTCAGAGGCAGGTGTATCTGGACATTGGAGAGGAAATGCTGCTGCACGCCTTCGAGGGATACAACGTGTGCATCTTCGCTTACGGCCAGACCGGAGCCGGGAAGTCCTACACCATGATGGGCAAACAGGAGCCCGACCAGCAGGGCATCATACCACAGGTAACCATGACGACCAGAGAGAGAGTTAAAGTGATAGTTTGGTGAAAAGTGAATAGAAATATTTCCTAATAATATGATTAACAGTGAATTTAAGCTAATAGTGAAGGTGAGAGGAATAAATGCTAAATAGCCTGGATTAGCTTTCGTTTATTGTTAGCCATCTTAAGGATTTTGGCTCTACTTACTCTTATTATTATTATTATTATTAGTAGTAGTAGTAGTAGTAGTAGTATTAATCCCCCATTGAGCTTGTTGGGTGGTTGTAGTTCTTGCCTAATGATCCAGTAATCAGTTTAGCAGGTTTTCATATTTTCAGCAGTATTTTTTATTTTTTGTGTTGTGCTCTCTTTTAGCTCTGTGAGGACTTGTTCAAGCGGACGGTGGAGAACACTGACCCTGACCTCTCCTTCTCTGTGGAGGTAAGTGCGTGTGCCCTCAGTCTGACCTCACACTGTCATCGTTGTCATAACACGCGTACAGTTTGTACCGGGTCATCTTGTGCTGCTGCGTCACGTGATATTTTCAGACCATAACAGTGGAGCACGGCTCAGACAGACAGCTTTTAAAGTGTTCTTACAGACACGGGCCACAGTCTGTTCCTCTTTACTGGTCCCTCAGGGGTCCAGATATTTCATTCTATTTTTGTTATACATTTTTAAGAGTACTTAATTTTTAAAAGGGTGACTCCATGATTCAGGTGCCGATGAGCCCTCTTTAGCTCTCCCTCTCTCTCTCTCTCTCTCTCTCTCTCTCTCGCCCTCTCTCGCCTGCAGGTGTCCTATATGGAGATTTACTGTGAGCGTGTGAGGGACTTGCTGAACCCGAAGAGCAGGGGGCCGCTGCGGGTCCGAGAGCACCCCATCATGGGCCCGTACGTAGAGGACCTGTCCAAGATGGCTGTCACCAACTACAGCGACATCGCTGACCTGATGGACTGTGGCAACAAGGCCAGGTATGACCAGTTAAACCCATATCCTACAGTTTTCTGTTCTTTTTTTTGTATTTTGATTTGTCACCAAGTTTACGCTGTTGGCCCCGTCCTAATAGGATGATTGACAGGTTGGAAAGTCTATGACAATGAAAATGCGGTCAGGTCAAATGAATTTCCGAAGGAATTTTGCCACTGAATGAGCGCAGAAGGAGAGAGTGTATAACTGCACACAGGAGAGGCTCTGTTTCCTTCACCGCGTCTGAATTTTTCCCTCTTTCTAGCTTGTTCTCGTCAATAATGCAAACTCAAATGCATTATTAAGGAGTACAAGTGCATAAAAGGTGAATTACATTTTAATGATCATTTTTACACCATTACAGCATAATAACATGATGCATATAAATGCGGTTCTGGAAATACATTTTAATCTAAATAAAGTTACTCATAACGCTTTTAAACCGTTCTGTAAATAAAATGTCAACACTAGTGTACCAAATAAAATTGTGCAATTGAATTTGAATTTTCATTTTTGAGTCCAAAATTGCGTCTATGAGTGGAAAATATGAATGCAGACATAAAAACATGCCTTTTTACATATTACATTTTTTTTTTTATTTTCCTACTGATATGCTTCAATATCTGAGGTCCACTTATAACCTTTGTGTGGTTTTATTGACCAAAAACAGTTATAATTCATTTCTATATATTTCTTTGAGTGCTTGTTTGACAGCCTAAGGCAGATCCTTATTTACTGAACCTGTTGATAAAGTTGATAACTTTACATAACAAACACACAGAGAGAGACACTGTTTATTCTGTCTGTATTTCAGAATGTTTATTTTCACCTAAAGCAGTATTCATATCCTCTCTCTCTCTTTCTCTCTCTTTCTCTCTCTCTCTCTCTCTCTCTCTCTCTCTCTCTCTCTCTCTCTCTCTCTAGAACGGTAGCCGCCACCAATATGAATGAGACAAGCAGTCGTTCTCACGCCGTTTTCACCATCCTGTTCACGCAGCGTCGCCACGACCAGATGACCAACCTCGACACCGAGAAGGTGTGTGAGTCTGTACACAAACACGTCCAGGCTCGTGTGTGTATATCGACACTGTCCATATAAAAACAAGCGACTCCTCAGTGGTAGCTTTACAGGACGGGCAGAAACATTCTAAACATTTTAATGTAAAACATCAAAAACATTTTGATCTGAGTCAATTAATTTTGCTCATGATTTTATGAATTATGATGATGAGTTTATGGTTTTATTCCAAGCCATTTTGAAGCAGCTCTGTTGGTCCATTCATCAATAATGTTTCCCACATTATAAAGTGCAGCTGCTGAGCTCACGATATGCAAATACAAAAAAAAAGGTTTTAAATTATTAATCCTGTTTAATTATTAGAGTTGCCCGATTCTATGTATGCTTATTGCACGTGTGTATATAAAATTCTCAAAGGTCTCCTTAGATCAATAACCAATAATCAATTCCCTTAAATCAGCAAACTGTGTGTGTATTTTGTTTTGCGTCAGGCTACCCAGCTAATATGTCTGTCTACCTCATTTACGTATCAAGCTAACTGGTAATGGGATCTGATTGGTTAGCATTACTGCTACTGAGCGCTGATTGGTTAGCGTCACTGCTACTGAGTGCTGATTGGTTAGCATTACTACTTCTGAGTGCTGATTGGTTAGCATCACTGCTTCTGAGTGCTGCTTGGTTAGCATTACTGCTACTGAGAGCTGATTGGTTGGCATTACTGCTACTGAGAGCTGATTGGTTGGCATTACTGCTACTGAGAGCTGATTGGTTGGCATTACTGCGACTGAGCGCTGATTGGTTAGTATTACTGCTTCTGAGTGCTGATTGGTTGGCATCACTGCTTCTGAGTGCCGCTTGGTTAGCATTACTGCTACTGAGAGCTGATTGGTTGGCATTACTGCTACTGAGCGCTGATTGGTTGGCATTACTGCTACTGAGTGCTGATTGGTTGGCATTACTGCTACTGAGCGCTGATTGGTTGGCATTACTGCTGCTGAGCGCTGATTGGTTAACATTACTGGTACTGAGTGCTGATTGGTTGGTGAGGTTTGTGATATATAAGACACTGTTATAAAACCCTATATATCCTGTAAAATCGTTGATGCACAGTGAAGAAAGCCAGGATGTTATTTTGGCTCCGGGGCCCCATAAACAAGGTAAAAATAATTCAGATTATTGTAACTAACGATCATATATGTTAGGCACAGTGTATGATTGAAGACCCTGGGTTTATAACTGTGTTTATTAGCTTGTATAATGTTTTGCTCTCTGTGTTTCTCAGGTGAGCAAGATCAGCCTGGTGGATCTGGCTGGAAGCGAAAGAGCAGATTCCTCTGGAGCGAAGGGCATGAGGTTAAAGGTGAGAACCGGTGATGAAACCTTCCTTTGTGATACTGAAATTTTCTGTGAAGCCCTGTTGGTCTGTGATTTAGACAGATGTTACAGTGAGTGAAGAATGTAGAGATGATTCTCTGTGGTCTCAGTTCAGAATATACACAGTTTCTAAATAAATTAATCGGCCTTTTTAAATTAAGACTGAGCTCGATACGTTCTTTCCACACAGTAACCGTTTCCTCTCCAGACTGTCTAAATCAAACGTGTCTGCTCTGCTGTACAGGCCGGCGTCGACTTTCATGCAAACTTAGTCATGTGTACGTTAAGCTGAATGCGTTTTGGCGTTCACAGCTGTTTTCATTACGTTAGTTGTAATCTGAGTTTAGGGTGGGTGATTTTGGTGCAAAATATAAGATCACAATACTTCAAGACGTTTTCTTGATACACAGTATGAGCCATGAGGTTCCATTTCCATAAATAATAAAATTATTATAATAAACTGTCAACATTTTTTATTATTATTATTATTGTTGTTGTTGTTGTTGTTGTTGTTGTTGTTGTTGTTGTTGTTATCATTAGTAGTAGTAGTTTATTTATTTATTTATAACAAAATAAGTGATGTGATGCTCAATTTTCGGAGGTTTGGTGTAGACACTGATGTAGACATTATTCTGTGATAACAGCTGAAAAATTGATGTTTTATAAGCCATTGGTCAGTAACAATAATAATAATAATAATAATAATAATAATAGTGGTAGTAGTAATGGTAATATTTTTATTTATAGAGCACTTTTCATACCAGTGGCAGTTCAAAGTGCTTTACAGACAGCTGATAAAGCGTAACAGTAATAAAAACTATGAATATTAATCATATAGACAGTATCACAGATAACATTAAACAGATAAACAGAGACTTAGAGTTTTACTGAAGCTCTGAGTTAAAGAGCTGCGTTTTCAGATGTTTATTAAAAGTGAACTCTGAGCTTGACTGTCTAATAAAAGCTGAACTGAGCTCCACAGTTTAGAAGCAGAATAACTGAAAGAGTCTCTCCACGTTTTCTGTGTTTTACTGAAGGTGTTTGTAGAAGGTCAGTATCTGCAGATCTAAACAGACAGACATTCAGGATCTTTATGGTCATTTAGAGCTTTAAAAACCAGCAGCAGAGCTTTAAACTCTCTCTAAAAGATCCAGGCGGTTGGTGCAGTGTGTACACGGGGGCGGGGTGTTATGAGCTCTCTGTTGGTGCTGTGAGGATCCGTGCTGCTGTGTTCTGTACAAGCTGTAGAGGATGGACTGTTTTCTCCAGTACGAAGATCATTACAGTGATCAACTCTGCTGAAAAAAGGCAGCAACAAGTCTCTCTGCGTCGCTCTGAGAGAGAAAAGGCCGAACTGCAGTGATTTTCTCACATCATGAAAAGCTACTTTAGTGACCGTGTTTACATGCAGATAAAACAGAGCTCAGAGTCAGAGATCACACCCAGGTTTCTACTGCAGGTCTGGTATATGAAGCTAAAGAGACGAGCTGTTGTGTTAGCTGTTTTAGTGATTTAGTTGTAGGAAATTTTGTGACGTCCCCTGAGAAATATCTGACACAGAGCTGGTCAGCCTGTCCAGAGTCTTGATCATCAGAAGGAATGGAAATGTAGAATTGTGTTCTAGGAAAATTTATATTGTTTCCTAGTGACATCACTGAGAGGCAACATGTCCAAGAGAAAAGCAAAGGCCCTAAAACTGACTGACCTACATTCACTGATATTCTGCGGTTTTGTTATTAGAGTGTTTTGTTTTGATTTGCAGGAAGGTGCGAATATAAACAAGTCTCTAACTACACTGGGCAAAGTCATCTCGGCACTGGCAGACATGGTGAGAAAAACACACACTTTTTGTGGCTGACAGTGAATGACAGGCCATTTAGCCGAACAGCAGTGGAATAATAATGTTGGCATTGATAAGTAGCAGAATTTTTATTTTTCCCATAATTATTTTTGTTATTATTGTTCTTGTCCTGAGAGATTGACTGACCGTTTGTCCTCTGTTCTCTTGTTTGTTTTGACTCCAGCAAAACACCAAAAAGAGGAAGTCTGACTTCATCCCTTACAGGGACTCAGTACTGACCTGGCTACTGAGAGAGAACCTGGGTGAGAGAGAGAACGAGAGGGGCAATTAAATTAAAATGCTTTTTTTTTTTTTATTTTAAACCTATAATTGCCGTTTCCATCCACGTTTCACTACATAAAATATTGTGTAGTTAACCTTTTCCAGATCTCTGTGCTGGTATCGGCAGACTTCTGTCAAAGCGTTCACATCTGTTTTTTTAAAACGTAATTTTTATGCATCAAATCGTCCAGCAGTGCAGTGATGCAACACACTGTTAGAAAGCTTGAAATCTCACGATTCAGTTTCCCTAAACTGTTTACAGCATCAGCACCGAATGAGCAAACGCTAACAGATCTGTGTGCCCTCACCTTCAGAGCCTCGCCTCCTCCACAGAGGCACCATAATCCAAAACATGAGGTCTGATAACACGGCAAGAGTCAGAGATCAGTTTAGAGATCTGTGAGTCAGGAGGAAATAAACTCCTCCGTTCCAGACTCTGTTACTCTGTGTCACTAATTCATACAGTTATTCATAATAAAACACGAGTGTTTCCTTTCAAATGAGATGGAGATCATGTCTGTAGCCCAGAGTATCTGTGAACAGCGCCCCCTTTACTCTGGGTATGACGTTTCTGGCTAAAATAGGGCCACAGTTAACAGGTTAAAATCCTTTGGGTCTACTTTAGCGTTAAAGTCTGGAATCACAGTTTAAAAGTTTGGGATCACTGTTTTGAATAAAATAAAAACAAAATTGCTGCTGATGCATCTATTAAATTATTCGATTATGATGCTAATACAACTTTTACAGATTTCATAGTTAGCATTATGGGTAAGAGAATTAATAGTCAGAAAGTGGTGAACAAATCTCAGGCGAATATCTTATCAAGAAATTTCTAGAGATTAGCAATTACAGTATGATATTTAGCATTTAATACATTTTAGTGTTCCCAAAAATGCACATCGCTACATCGTCACGTCCAAGTTAGTAACTTTAAAGGAGACGGCTGAAGGTTCTTAACTTTTAATGTAAGTGTAAATGTAAAAAGATTTCATTCCAAGTGATTTTGGAGCATTTTTTTTATTCTTCTATCAGGAGTGAAAAGCCTAAAAGTCAGTTGCTGGGATCAGATGAGGGAGAAAAAAGAAAAAGATGAAGATGCATGTTTACACAGTGATGATAAAGAATGAAAAACCTTAAAACACCTTCTGGTGTCGATCTCATGTTCAAGTTTTTGGATAAAATGACAGCAGTTATTAATGACAAGTGATTTCAAACTTTTAAACACTAGTCTAAGTAAATGTTTACGTATTTAACATAAAGATTTTGTCTATATTTATAGAACCTGCCACATAATTGCCTGTAATGGTATTGTATTGTAATTTGAAAGTGTTTAAAATAAAATAGGTTGGATGTGAGTGGGTGTAGAGAGAGAGAGAGAGAGAGAGAGGGTGTGTGGGTGTGTGTGTGTGTGTGTGTGTTTTTGCATTTGGCTTCATCTGATTTGTATATTTGTTGTTTTTTTTAAAGGGGGTAACTCTCGCACGGCCATGATCGCTGCCCTGAGTCCAGCAGACATCAACTATGAGGAAACCCTCAGTACACTCAGGTATACATACAGACTACATACTCTACTGAGCTACTGGATTAGTTTGCTGATATTGATCCAGTATGAATCTGCACTGTGTAGAATTTAGTCTCAACATAATCATTACAGAGTGCTTTGATCCAGTATGAATCTGCAACATATGTAGATTTTATAGTCTTAACAGTAATAAATGTGGAGTGAGTTTAATCCAGTATGAATCTGCAGGGTGTGTAGTTTTTACAGTCTGACAGTAATAATTGTGGAGTGATTTTAATCCAGTATGAATCAGTCTGACAGTAATAATTGCAGAGTGGTTTTAATCCAGTATGAATCAGTCTGGCAGCAATAATTGCAGAGTGGTTTTAATCCAGTATAAATCAGCCTGGCAGTAATAATTGCAGAGTGGTTTTAATCCAGTATGAATCAGCTCTAACAGCTCCCTGTTCCCTAAATAGTGCACTATGTAAATGATTCATCAATTCATACTGGATTAAAGCACTCTGAAATTATTACTGTCGTATTATAAAAACTATGCACATTTGTTTTTAAAAGATTTGCACACTGGCAGTAATAATTGCGGAGTGATTTTAATCCAGTATGTATCAATCTGACAGTAATAATTTCAGAGTGCTTTAATCCAGAATGAATTGATGAATCATTTATATAGTGCACTATTTAGGGAACAGAGAGCCGTTAGAGCTTCATCCTAAATCCTTCACTCGTTTTCTCCGGGCAGGTATGCGGATCGTGCGAAACAGATCCGCTGTAACGCAGTCATTAACGAAGACCCGAACGCCCGGCTGGTCCGAGAGCTTAAAGAGGAAGTGAACCGCCTCAAGGAGCTGCTATTGGCCCAGGGCCTCAGTGACCTCATCACCGCTACAGGTAACACACACGCACAGAATACACATACTTCAAACATTAAGGGAGTGCACTCTTTACATCTCACAAATGATTCGATTGCAGTTCTTTATGAAATGATTCAGTGATTCAGTTATGATTCTTTAGGAATGAAATCAGTGGTTTGTTAATTGTTTAGGAAATGTTTCAGATTTTAAAATTTCATCTTGTTCAATTTATTACGGTATGATTTTGAAAATTATTTTGCATACACAAACCTGACTAGATGAAAACGTTTATGCAGTAGTGGCCCTGTAACGCTAGTGGTGAACGTGCAAAACGAAGGGGTAGGGCTGAGTGGTAGGGGCGAGGGGTGAAATGGGATTGGGCCGGTTTCTTCTAGTCAGATTTGTGCATGCAAAATAATTTTCAGTCATACCGTCATAAATTGAACGAGATGAAATTTTAAAATCTGATCCATTTCCTAAAGAATCGTTATCAAAACTCATAGAATCATAATTGAATCACTGAATCATTTCATAAAGGTTTGTGATGTCACACCGCATGGGTGTTTGGTTGCTTCTAATTGGTTTAACTCGTCTTCAGGCAGTTTCCGGCTCGGTGTTATGAGGTTAAACTTGCCTGATTAAAGCGTATTGATAATGTATGCTATAATAAAGTTAAAAAGATTTGAAAACTGCACTCTTTAATTTGCAGTTTCGATTTTAAAACGATTCTTTCAGCACCCCCCACCCCCCAGTAGCTTGATTTGTTATTTTTATGTCTGAAATGTTTATTTTAAGCAAGAAATGAGCTCATTGTATACAAATTATTCATTTGAATTGATTATAATTGATTATAACAGAGCTTGAAATTCACCTATAGATACAGTTCAATCAGAAATAGTTCGATGTTATTGGCTTAAGTGATTTCAGTTGTGAGAATATTTACGGTTAAGAGGTTTTAATTACATACGTCGTGTTCAGCATTAATGATGATATTGTTAATGTTGTCTCCGTGCCTCTCCCAGGACCTGCTATGGCTGGGGGTCCAGGCGTGTCCCAGCAGGCCCCTCTCCCTGGAGTCCAGACTACCAGTGATGCACCAGTGGAGGACATGAGCCCCATCAGTAAAGAGGAGGCTGCGGAGAGGCTGAAGGTAAAACTGTGCGGCTGGTGGCCTTCAGAGTGTCTCTCATTTACCGTCTGATATGGAAACCATGGTCAGTGGTCAGAACTACCCATGTGGGTGGGGCCTATCAGACTAAAGTGGGCGGGGCTTGGAGTATGGACATGCCTGCAACCAAATAAGTGGGCTTTTTTCTGAAGAGCTTCTGAATTGTAGCTGTTGTGATGTTTGGGGTTTATTGTGCGAGAGTGCTGCGCTGCAGGAGCCGAAAACGTTCTAACGTTCTGTTGGAGAACCTTTATTAATCAAACTAATCTGTGTAGAAGAGAGTTACAGCACTGTAGAGTCGCTTTAACACACAATCATATTAAACCTGAAAATATGTGCATCTCTCTTTCTCTCCATCTCTTTTTTTTTTGTTCTTTCATTCTTTCTCTCCTTCTCTCTTTCTCCTCCTTTCTTTCTTTCTCTTTTTCCTCTTCCTCTCTCACACTTTCTTTTTGTTTTTATCTGTTTCCTTCTCTCTCGCCCTTTCTCTCATCTATCTTTCTCTTTCTCTTCCCCTTTTTTCTCTCTGCCTCTTTCTCACTTTCTCTCTTTCTCTCCATCTCGCTCTTTCTCTGCATCTCTTTTTTGTTTTTTATTTCTCCTCCTCTCTCCTTTTTTGTCCTACTTCCTTTCTTTCTCTCTTTCTCTTTTCTTGTTCTTTCTTTCTTTCTTTCTTTCTCTCTCTTTCTCTCTTCCACTTCATTTTTCTTGCTTTCTCTTTTCCTTTTTCTTCCTGCTTCCTTTCTTTCGTTCTTTGTTACCTTCTCTCTCGCTCTCTCTCCTCTGTCTCTCTCTATTTCTCTCTTCCTTTCTTTTTCTCTCTGCCTCTTTCTCAATCTCTTTCTCTCCATCTCGCTCTTTCTCTGCCTCACTTTTTTGTTCTTTATTTCTCCTCCTCTCTCCTTTTTCTTCCTTCTTTCTTTCTTGCTTTCTTTCTTTCTCTCTCGCTCTCTCTCTTTTCCTACTTCCTTTCTTTCTCTTTCTTTTTTCTCTTTCTCTCTCTCACTTTCTTTTTGTTTCTTTCTTTGTTTCGTTCTCTCTCGCCCTCTCTCTACTCTATCTTTCTCTATTTCTCTCTCTTCCTTTCCTTTTTCACTGCCTCTTCCTCACTCCATCTCTCTTGCTCTCCATCTCTTTTTTGTTCTTTTTTTCTCCTCTTCTCTTGTTCTTCCTACTTCCTTTCTTTCTCTCTCTCTCTTTTCTTGTTCTTTCTTTCTTCCTTTCTGTCTCTCTTTCTGTCTCTCTCTCAGGAAACTGAGAAGATCATTGCGGAGCTAAATGAGACGTGGGAGGACAAACTGCGTAAAACAGAAGCCATCCGGCACGAGAGGTGAGAGAATCTCTAATTTCTAAAATCGTACTGAACACACTGATATAACTGTTATGGCAGATAATGTAACCAAAAGTCTGAAGGAAATAGATATTTACAGCATATGATTTGTTATTTAATGAATACACTGAATTCTTGAAATATTGAATAAAACACCTAAAAACAACTTTTGATGACTAGTTTGTAATATTTAATAGTTAATATTATATATTAAAATAACAAAATAGTGTTATTTATTTGAGACGACAAACAGCAGTAAAAGTGCTCATGGCAGAATCTGTAACGGCAGGTTTTGGTGTTAATAATGCGGCAACGGAGCTGCTAACCTGAACAACTGAGCTGCTTCTCTTAGTAATCACTCGTCTGCCGCTGTGTGGTCACTCACAGTCTGAGTTAATGTTACTGAGGAAGCCGAAGGAACCGCCGGACTCTCGGCGTAGTGATGCCTTTAACTTATAAATGAGTTAGGTTAGAGTTAGTGTCGGTATCTGTACTCAGTATCGGCTGATACTAAAGGAAGGTATCGGTTTCAAAAGGGAAAAAGTGATATCGGTGCATCTCTAGTTAATATGCAAACTTTTGAACGTGAGCGTAATTCTGAAATTGATCGGTCGACACCTTCAGAGTGACGTGTGACAGAACTCTGGATCATTTGTCCGCCCCTTAAATACATTCAGTAACATACAACACATCATAAACACTGTCATAATTTTGTGTAAATGTGTCTGTGATCAGGGAGGCTCTGCTGGCGGAGATGGGTGTGGCTATCAGAGAGGACGGCGGAACCGTCGGCGTTTTCTCTCCAAAGAAAGTCAGTCTTCACTTTTGTCTTATTACATAAATAACTCAGTACATAATGCCTTGTAATATATTTTATAGCTATTTTTATAAAACGGTTTATTTTACTGCGTTGTGTGTTTCAGACGCCTCACCTGGTCAACTTGAATGAGGATCCTCTGATGTCTGAGTGCCTGCTGTACTACATTAAAGACGGAGTGACCAGGTACTCAGATTTTCCAGCATTTGTGAATAATCCCACAGTTCAAACCTGCAGTGAGAACGGCAGCAGCAGTAAATTAGTGAGAATTATGGTGGTAAGGAGTTTCTAAAGCAGTATTGGAGCTGGATTAGTTTTGTCTGGGGAGGTGCTCTAATTGTGATTACTGCCGAGATCTGTACGTTTAATCCAGTGTGAATCTGCAGTGTCTGTAGTTTTTAGTCTGCTAAGCAATTATTCCAGAGTGAATTACCTTCTAATAAGGATGTTCTAAGGCAAAATAGTCATTTTTATTTCAGATTTTCCACTATTTTCCATCATCAACATTCCATATAAACTCAGAAGACTCGTGTAGGTTCACTGGTGGTTCTGGATAGTAAATAAAATGTCTATATTTGTGTTGTAGCCATGGCGACCCCTGGTTCCTATCACCACCACTGTAAAGACATCTGAATCACTCTGATTACGTCTCACACACTGACAGGTTTTGAAAAATAATAAAATAAACCAGTGAAATGTCTGTGTTGCAGGGTTGGACAGGAGGACGTGGACATCCGTCTCAGCGGTCAGTTCATAAAGGAGCTGCACTGTGTGTTCTGCAGTGACGTGGAAGACAACGGAGAAGGTGAGAACACAAAGTCGGTAATCAAGCAGCGCATTAACACAGTTATTGGTGATTTTATACAGAGAGTATTTCCTCTGTTTCTCCACTGAATTAGCCTAAAAACCTCCATCAGCCACGATGAGTTCGATTCTGTAGGTTTAGCTCTGGAGCTGCGAGGCTGATGTAGCTAATAAAGTAATGGAAACTTACACCCCACCTGTTAGCATGATGCTAACTGCACACCGAGCATCACTCACTCTCCTCACACAGTGGAGATACTCAGTAACTTAACAGACTGGATTATGTGCTTACTGACCATCTCTCTCTCTCTCTCGCTCTCTCTCTCTCTGTTTTTCTTTTTTCTCTTTTTCTCTCTATTTATTTAATTCTTTCTTTTTGTTTCTCTTTTTCTCTTTCCGTCTCTCCTTTTCTTTCTTTCTTTCTTTCTTTCTTTCTTTCTTTCCCTTCTTCTTGTTCTCTTTTCTTCTTTTTTTCTTTTTTCATTCTCTCTCTCACTTTCCCTCATCTCTCTGTTTCTGTCCCCCCCCTCTGTTTTTCTTTTTCTTCTTTTTCTTCTTTTAATTTCTTTAATCCTGTGTTTCTCATTCTGTTTCTTTCTTCTCTTTCCATCTTTCTTCTTTTTTCCTTCCTACTTTTTCAAATTTTTCATCTCTCTCCTTTTTCTTTCATTCTTTTTTTTCTTTTTTGTTCTAATTTCACTAATTCTTTTCTTTTTGTTCCTCTTTTTCTCTGTTCATCTCTCAATTTCGATTTTTATTCTTTTATTCTCTTTCTTGCTTTCTTTTCTTTCTGTTCTCTAATTCTTTAATTCTGCCTTTCTTTGCTTCTCTTTTTCGTCTATCTTTTTCTTCTCGTTCTTTATTCTTTTTCATTCTTTCTTTTTCTCTTCATCTTTCTGTCTTTCTTTTTCCTCTTTCTTCCTCTTTTTACCCTTTATATTCTGTTTCCTTAATTCTGTCTTTCTTTGTTTCTCTTTTTCGTCTTTCTTCTTGTTTTTTTTCTTATCATCCTTCTGTCTTTTTTCTTTCTTACCCCTTCTTCTTGTTCTCTTTTCCCCTTTTTTTCGTTCTCTCTCTCTCTCTCTCTCTCTCTCTCTCTCTCTGCAGTGGTTGTAACTCTGGAGCCTCTGGTTGGAGCTGAGACGTATGTAAATGGGAAGCAGATCACGGAGGGCGTGGTCCTGAAGCAGGGTACAGTCCAGCACTCTGTTTATGGAGATGCTCCGTCTGACTCCGCCTACTGTTCGTTTACGCGTAGAAACCATGACAAATACGTCTCTTTATTCAGGAAAATATCCTCAAAACTGTTGAGCTCTTGTGTACGTGGGTGTGAAGGAGTTATGAGGATGTTTGTGTTGAAGGAGTTATGAGGATGTTTGCATGAAGTATATATGTTTATGAACAGCAGTGTTTGCTGGTTTAGTCTCCTCCCTCCACTCAGACACCCTGTACTGAGGTCACAGACGTGTTTTCTCCTGTAATGTAGAGCCTGACTGAACAGTGTTCTCACTGATATCAAGATGATAAAAATAACCAGTAATTTTATGTAGTTTTAAGGTATTAAATAGACTCTAGAAATTTTATTCAGTTCACAATTGTCAGATTTCTTAAATTTGAACAGCAGAAATTATGCGAATATTGTGGCGCCAGGAGGCAGAGCTTCCCAGAATTCCTTGTGTATGAGTAAATGTGTATTTGTTAGTTTTTTTTTTTGTTGGTTTTTTTTTTATTTTGTTTTTTATCAACACTCTGTGGTGTGTGTGTGTCTGTGTGTCTCTGTGTCTGTGTGTCTCTGTGTCTGTGTGTCTGTGTGTCTGTGTGTCTGTGTGTCTCTGTGTCTGTGTGTCTATGTGTGTGTGTGTGTGTGTGTGTGTGTGTGTGTGTTTCGTGGTCTCCTAGGTGACCGTATCGTGATGGGGAAGAACCATGTGTTCCGCTTTAACCACCCCGAGCAGGCTCGGCTGGAGAGAGAGCGCAGCGCCACTCAGGAACAGCAGGGGGAGCCAGTGGACTGGAGCTACGCCCAGAAAGAACTACTGGAGAAACAGGGCATAGACATCAAACAGGAGATGGAGAGGAGGTGAGAGAGATAGAGAAATGGGTGGAGAGAGAATGATGAAAAAGAAGGAAAGAGTGAGAGAGAGGGGTGGAGAGAGAACGATGAAAAAAAGGAAAGAGTGAGTGAGAGAGAGAGAGAGAGAGAGAATGACGAAAAAGAAGGAAACAGCCGGGTGGAGAGAGAACGATGACATAGAAGGAAAGAGTGAGACAGAAGAGAGAGAGTGAGTGAGAGAGAGAGAGATGAAAAAGAGAGGAAGAGAGAGATGAAAAAGAAGGAAAGTGTGAGAGAGAGAGAGAGAGAGAGAGAGAGAGAGAGAGAGAGAGAGAGGAAAAAGAAGGAGAGAGGAAAAAGAAGGAAAGAGTGAGAGAGAGAGAGAGATGAAAAAGAGAGAGAGGGAGGGAATGATGAAAAAGAAGGAAGGAGAGAGAGAGGGAATGATGAAAAAGAAGGAAAGAGAGAGGGAATGATGAAAAAGAAGGAAAGAGTGAGGGAGCGAAATGGGAGAGATATTGAGAAAGTATACTCTTAAAAATGGTACTTCAAGGGTTCTTTAGCAAAGGGAATGGTTGTTCTTAGAACCATGAGTTATATATAGAATCGTTTGCTTATGTGGTTCTTGGCATGGTAAAATGGTTCTTCAGGATGATGGAGAATGTGTTGTATATGGTTCTAAATAGCACCAAAAAGGGTTCTTTTATTGTGACAATGTCAAGCTTGTGTACAATAGAAGAACCCTTTTGGTCCTATATAGAACCATTTTCAGAAAGGCTCTATATAGAACCATATACAGCACATTCTCAATCAGTCTGAAGAACCATTTTACCATGCAAAGAACGCTGTAGTCATGTCAAGGGTTCTTTGAATGTACCTGGAACCATTTTCTTTACTAAGGAACCCTTAAGTGTGTGTATATCTATTGTATATCTGTATCAGAGTGAGGTTATCATGGCATGTGTGCAATATGGCTCAAATCCAGTTTCCGGTCCTGGTTCTCCTAATTACCTCCTCCTAATGAACTGAACTGTTCATATAAACTGGTGTCATACCTACTGGTAATTACAAAATCCAGGACTGGACTCTGGATTCAGGGTGTGGATGCGAGTCCTCTGGTTTACAGTCTATTCTTCAGGTCTTTAGAGCAGATTTACAGTAGAATAAACAGGACTGATGATTCTGAACACTCTGTGTCTGTTCAGGCTGCAGGATTTAGAGAATCAGTACCGAAAGGAGAAGGAGGAGGCTGACCAGCTCCTGGAACAGCAGAGACTGGTGAGACACACACACACACACACACACACACACACACACACACACACACACACACTGTCGACTGCTCACTCGTCTCTCAGTGTCCTCCAGAGCAGAGTGACTCACTCCATCTGAAAACTCAAGACTGTGGGAATGAACTTAACCTTTATCTTACATGCAGTATCTCTCTCTCTCTCTCTCTCTCTCTCTCTCTCTCTCTCTCTCTCAGTATGCAGACTCTGATAGTGGTGATGATTCAGATAAGCGTTCCTGTGAGGAGAGCTGGAGGCTCATCTCCTCACTCAGAGAGAAGCTACCAGCCAACAAGGTCACTCAGGCACACATTTCACACACACCACATACACAATATAGATGTATTATATATATATCTCGGGTGCTGTCTGACCAAAACCTTGTATCTCCATTTTTTGTCAGATTCCAGTTTTTGACATAATCTAAAAATGCCTGTTGTCCTTTTCATTACGTATAACTTTCATGATGAAGGAAACAAAACAAACAGTCCAAAATGACTTGTAAGAAATTCTGGTTCCATTGACTTGCATTAAGAGTAAAGTATGTTTTTTCCTTCTCCTGTAAAGTTGCCGTTTTAGAGATACAGGGTTTTGTTTTGTTATATATGGTTTTGTCCTATTTTATATTGTTTGTATTTTTATAATATTTTGTTAAATTTTATATTGTTAATATATTTTATATTGTTGTATTTAATGCTTCTACGTCTCCTGCTAAATGAGGAGTCAGTAGTGAAGGTGTGGACCTAAAACGGTGCACTTTAAAATATACCGGATGAACACATACATGTTGAGCTCCAGTCTGATGGTTCGTCTGAATATCTCTTCTGGTTGTTTGCTCTGTTGCAGTATATCTACCTCTGTTCGTGTCTAAATATGCTGTAAAATTCATTTTGGCCGCGTTGTCCGCGTGCTAGCGCGAGCACGCTAACTCTCTGTCTGTTCCCCTTGAGCATTGTGCCCTGCACTCACTGATGCAGAGTCTGACTCAGGCTGTGGGTGCGTGTCTTTGTCCTGCTTGAAGGGCAGACGGTCAGCAACCAGCTTTTATAATAACTTCATAATAACTGCAGCTTCACACTGATATGTGGCTTTTGAGCCGATGCTGATATCCAGTATTTTTCGTGTTGCCAGTACATATTATAGGATGTAAAAATTTAAATTAGCATTACAGAGAAATATGACACATATGTAGAGGGTCACAAGTGCAATACAGTGAATAAAACCAGCAGTAATGCCAGCCAATCAGCACTCAGTATTAGTAATGCTAACCTATGAGCACTCAGTATTAGTAATGCTAACCTATCAGCACTCAGTAGCAGTAACATTAACCAGTCAGCACTCAGTAGCAGTGATGTAAGCGTCCCACTGCACAAAACCTGTTTTCTGTGAAAACACACACCCTGTTTACACCTGCTCATTTAACGTATCTGGTATCTGGATTGTGTCCTGATTAGATTTTAGCCACATGCATTTACACTTGGTAGTCTAATGTGTCTCCGGTTAGTCGGACTGAAATCCGATTGCTCTGTGGGACGGAATATGCAAATCAGCTCGTTATGTGGCAACCAATTACCAACTGTTTGTCTGTCCAGCCTCTTCGTCTGCAGTGCGTTCTGTACAGTCGTGTTTGTTCATGTTGCTGTTAAACGTTTAGTTTCGTCCCAAAACATGTGAGTCCTGCATGATTATCTACCTCACTGACACGGGTCACGAACCCAGTGACGCACTGCATGGGGAGGGGTTTCGGTTGTACTGGAGGGGTTTCGGTTGTACTGGAGGGGTTTTTGTTGTTCTTGGAGGGGTTTTAGTCGTACTTGGAGGGGTTGTAGTTGTACTGGGAGGAGTTTAGGTTGTACTAGGAAGGGTTTCGGTTGTACTGGGAGGGGTTTCGGTTGTACTGGGAGGGGTTTTTGTTGTTCTTGGAGGGGTTTTAGTCGTACTTGGAGGGGTTGTAGTTGTACTGGGAGGAGTTTAGGTTGTACTAGGAAGGGTTTCGGTTGTACTGGGAGGGGTTTCGGTTGTACTGGGAGGGGTTTTAGTCGTACTTGGAGGGGTTTTAGTCGTACTTGGAGGGGTTGTAGTTGTACTGGGAGGAGTTTAGGTTGTACTAGGAAGGGTTTCGGTTGTACTGGGAGGGGTTTCGGTTGTACTGGGAGGGGTTTTTGTTGTCGAACGTATCTTGGAGAGACAGATGTGTTTACACTGCTATAATGTGGCTCAAATGCGTCCACCTCAGTCCACCTCCTGAAGTGGTTTGATTGATCAGATTTGTATCTGTTTAAATGCGTCTTGGCTGCGTTTATACTTGCGTCTGTGTGGTTTGGCCTCATCCAGACATAATCCTGATACTCAAGATGCACCAAGCGACTGTGTGTAAACAGGATCAGAGATACTCCTGGGTACAAAGCTTTTGCTGCTTTCCAACATTAAAAGAAGTTCCTTTAGCTGTTTAGCAACATTCTCCCCATTCATGAGGACTTGCTCTCAGGCGCCCTCTGGTGATTTGGAGTCAGTTTTTTGGTATAATGGAGATATATATGGATCATTTGCAGTATAAATGAATGGGTTTGTCTTTTCTGCTGTGAGTTCTGTGAGGGATAAATAGCTCCTCAGGCCTGTAACTGTATTACACTCACTGAGCTGAATATAAACACTGCTCACTGAAGGGTCTCAGAGCTGGATGACTAATCACATCTCTCATTGACTGACTCACTGTCTCTCTCTCTCTCTCTCTCTCTCTCTCTCTGGCACTCTCTTCCCCTCTCCTTCTCTCTCTCTGGCACTCTGAACAATTCAGTTTGTCAGTTTGTTTCTGATCCTTTAGGAAACAGTTCATGAAATCTCAGATTTTACCACAGTTGAATGAAATTATTTTAGAACGATGCAGAATTATGTTTAAAATTACGCTGAACACACAAATGCAGCTGGACAAACTCTTTCCACAGAGATGTAACACAGACAATAAAAACAGTACAACTGTATTTATTTGTACATTTACTTTTGAAAAATAGCCCATTTTTAATTTACTTAATGCAAAAAATAACTATTTATAATGAATCATAATTAAACGAAAAAAATTCAGTTGAACCATCATGATTACCACACCTAATATGTGATGATGATCTGTGCTGATGTGTCTGTCTGTCTGTCCAGGTGCAGTCTATAGTGAAGAAGTGTGGTCTGCCGAGCAGCGGGAAGCGTCGGGAGCCTCGGCGCGTGTATCAGATTCCTCAGCGGCGCCGTTTACCCGCCAGTGCAGAGTCCAAAACTCACCCCAGCCTGGACGAGCTCCGCACTCAGGCTGTAAAAGAGATCTGCTACGAGGTGTGTATCAGTACAGTCAGTGTAAAATTTGACATATGAATATTTGCTGGATTTGAATAAAAAAGTGTCTATTTGAATGTTTAAAGCTTCTGCTGCTGGGGCGTGTGTGTGTGTGTGTGTGTGTGTGTGTGTGTGTGTGTGTGTGTGTGTGTGTGTGTATATATATCACACACACACACACTCACACACACACAAACACATATATATATATATATATATATATATGTATGTTTGAACTGTTGAATTGGCCTCATAGAAAGAAAGCACTAAATTTGACCAATCACTTTAAATATTTCTAGTAACAGAAAATAATCGTTGAGAGCTGTGATAGCAAGTCTTCCTTTTTGTCTCCTTGCCCTTCTTTTCCCTTCTTCTTCTCTATTTCCTCCTGCAGGTGGCTTTGGGAGATTTCCGGCACTCGAGGCAGGAGATCGAGGCTTTGGCCATCGTGCGGATGAAGGAACTTTGCCGGACGTACGGTCAGAGGGACCCTCAAGAGAAAGAGAGCTGGAGGATGGTAGCCAGAGAAGTGTGCAACACTGTGGGCATTGGAGAGGAGGAGGGAGAGAGGGGAGGAGGAGGAGGAGGAGGAGGAGTGACGGAGGAGAGAGCAACCTCGGCCGCTGGAGCAGGGAGAGAGCAAAGCATGCAGAGAGGAAAGACTGATATGGGCGAGTTAAAGGCTCATATAGACAAACTGACCGATATCCTGCAGGAGGTGAAGCTCCAGAACAACATGAAGGATGAAGAGATCAGAGCACTCAGGGACCGCATGGTGAAGATGGAGAGCATATTTCCAGTAGGACTGCAGGTAAACACACTCACATACAGTACGGTACAGAAGTCAGAGACCACCTTTCGTTCATTTATTTACTTAATTTCTGGTTCAGAGTGCTGGTTCATCAGGAGATATTTCTGAGATCAAATGCAAGAAAAAACACTTGCATGAGGAAGTTTCTAAAAACCTTACAAAAAGATTAAAAGCTCCAGAGAAAATGTGGCTCCTAACAACCACCTGGAAGAGCTGGTCGACCCCAAAACTGCCCCCATCAGATAAACAGCACTTAAAGCTTTCATCTCTGAGAGAGAGGAGAAAATCAAGCTGCTTCAGATCTGAAAACATCCACAGGTGTTTCTGTCCATCCTTCCACTGTGAGAAGACGACTCAGCGCGGTCTGAAAGGATGTGTAGCTGATCAAGAAGAACCTCACTGAGAAAAGGAGACGGACACATCAAACAAAGAAGCTGAACGATGGACTGACCACCTCAGAGTCCAGACCTCAACACCACTGAATGTGTTTGATTACTTCAGAAAAGTTTATTTTACACTGCAAAACATTCTATCTTAAACATTATCATTATCTAAAACATTATATGTGAAATTACTATATTTCATATGTTTTTTCTGAGATTGTTATAAGAGTGTAAAAAGATTATTCAGCGTATTTCTGGACATTTTTACTGAAAACGTATTTCATGTAGTGATAATATCTGCCAATGAAATAATTTCTTATTTTAAGCATTATTTCTTCACAGATTGCACTAGATAAAATGACTTTACACAAGTAAAAATACCTAGACAAGGGCTTAATAATCACGTTTTTACAATCTCATAATGAGAAATATTAGATATATAGTAAATATATTTAAATATCGCTTGCCAAGGTGTCATTTTTTGTCATGTACAATTAATTGAGTTTGCCAACAACCAACACAGTAGAGGTCTGCACTCTCACGGTGCACAATTCCTGCTTTGTGTTTACTGGGAATAAATGCTGTTTGGTGAAGTTACTCTGAACTGCACGGGCGGGTGCGGGTCAACTGATTCCAATTTTCTGCGGGAGTGGGATGAAATCTTGCAGGAGTGGGCGGGAGCGGGACTGAAAAAACAGTCCCAAGCAAATCTCTGCAACACAGTATGTTTACTGCTGTCTAATTTAGTGTCAGAAAGACAAAAACCCACATTTCTGATGTAACACACCTCATTGAGTGATGCTGTTGTTCACATCTAGGAACAAACCCACTTGTTCTGGGTTGTAAACGCATTAAAAATATATATTTTTTCATGTTTGGAAATAACCAGTAACATTTTAGATATTACATTATGAGCTGTATTGTAAGTGTAATACGTTTTCATGGTGATATTGCCTCTTTCAGGAAGATGATGACTCCATGATCGATGAGGGCGGCGCTAGAGGTGAAGGTGGGTCGGGGCAAGGGGGCCGGCACGGAGACGAGGATTCCGGGTATCGTCGGGGTCGTCACAGGTGGCAGTATCCGGACAAATACCACGACCCCAAGCGTCGCAGGGGCATGAACTCCCAGTCCAACAGCATGGGCCCCCAGACCTACAGCCCTCCACAAGGACGCCCCCAAAACAACCCGTTCAGCACTGGATCAGGGCGCTTCTCGAACTCTTCAGCCCAACAAACCCCTCGCAGCCCCAACGGGCCATTCTTACCCGGCACTGGCCGCTTTCTGCCGCCTCTGGAGAGGAAGTTGCAGTTCCCCTTTAAAGGAAACCCCCAACACAGGGGCTTCCACTGGGGTCCATCGGCCAGCCAGAACCAAAGCCAGGGAGGTGCGGACGGCCAGGACGAACAGGATTCCACTACCTCTGTGCACACTTTCCAGTCCCCGCCTTCTCCGGATAAGAACCAGTGGCCGAACAGCCACCACCAGCAAAGGCGCAACCATGGAAACCGAGGAAACCGCGGAAACCGACAGAGGTCAAGGAACCGTGGCCGAAACCCATTCGACGGGTTTGTGCAGCGCGAGCACTTCGCGAACGCTGACCATACAGACGGCCAAGCGCAGCAGGGCCACGCGAGGGCGCGGTACACTTGGTACAATCCAAACTCAAGCTCAGGGCAAGCGGAGGACGGATCGCAACAGAACCAGAACCAGCAGGCCAGGCAAGCCTTCAACAAACACCAGAACCAACAGTCAGGCTACTATCTGCCCCCTCATCGTCAGACTAGCCCACCTGAGAAGAACCAAAATAATTCTGGAGAAGGCGCTAACGCCCGGCAAACCCAAGAACACACCACACCTATGGAGACCTGACTGGCTCGTTTGGCGAGGAAAGTAGAACGTAGGGATCAGTGATGTCATGGTAGACTGGGTGAACGGATAGCATTGAGTTACATGAAATGTTTAGTGATGTCGCGATGGACATGAACAGCTGGAGCACACTGGCCGAACAAACACCAGCACACAAACAGAAACGCTTTACCTTTGTGTGTTTGTTGGGAGAATCTAGAACGTTCTCGCTCTAGTTCCTTTGGATCGTTGGTTCTTTTTCTTGACATTCTTAAGACAACTGCAAATATTAGAACGTTGGTGTTTGTTGCAGAATGTTGTTCGGTGGACTCTGGCTTTTACGGAGTTCAGTGGAGCGTTCCTGATGAACGCTTCCTTAGCGTAGAGGTAAATGGAATGTTCTGTGATGTCATAGGGCTGGGCAATATGACAATATATATCGTTATCATGATAAACTAAGGCTTTTCTGAACATATCGTGTATATCGTCAGTACTTGTAGAAACACTGACCAACTGCATGATTCATTATAACGCGACCAGTATTAGTCAGTTTAACTGGATTTAGTGCAACAAAGTCTGCAAAATAGTGAATAAAAATCATTAGTTTTTAGTTAAAATTTAGCACAACTGGTTCTTTTTTTTCCTCTCTGTTTCAGCTGATCAGATGTCGCAAAAAATCAATGACATTGTGTATCATGAAAATGTCTCGAAGTATCGCGATATTATATTTTTGCCATATCGCCCACCTCTATGATGTCATAAAGGACAAGACGAGTGGATTTTTGCATAGGTTTCCGTGGTGTCCTAATGAACATGACGTATTCATTTTAGCATTAAATGTTCCATGATGTCATAGAGCTGGGCAATATGACAATTTATATCATTATCATGATAAATTGTCACAATATAATATGCTTGTCTGAACATATCTTGAATATCGTATGTAGAACACTGACCAACTGCATGTTTCATTATGAAGAGAGCAAAATTAGACCTGTTTAACTGGATTTAGTGCAACACAATTTGCAAAATATTGAATAAAATAAAAAAATTGAATAAAATTGAGTTTTTTGATAGTATTTTTAAAAATTTAACACAACTGGTTCTTTTTGCTCTGTTCCAACTGATCAGATGTCTGAAAAAATAGATAGTACGACAGTTCGTTTATCATGAAAATTTCCTGAAGTATCGCGATATTATATTTTTGCCATATCGCCCACCTCTATGATGTCATAAAGGACAAGATGAGTGGATTTTAGCATTGAGTTCTGTGATGTCATAATGGACAGGACAGATGGTTCCTTTGCGTTGAGTCAAGTGAAATGTTTCGTGATGTCATAGGGCTGGGCAATACGACAATATATATATCATTATCGTGATAAATTGTCTCAATACAATCTGCTTTTCTGAATCTTGAATATCGTATGTAGAACAATGATCATTTGCATGTTTATTATAAAGAGAGCAAAATTAGTCCCGTTTAACTGGATTTAGTGCAACACAATATGCTGAATATTGATTAAAAATCATTGTGTTCACAGATTTTGATAGTACTTTTTAAAATGTGGCCCTGCTGGCTCTTATTTCTCTGTTCCCACTGATCAGATGTCTGAAAAAATACATATCATGACATATGGTGTATCGTGAAAATTTCCTGAAGTATCGCGATATTATATTTTTGCCATATCGCCCACCTCTATGATGTCATAATGGACAAGATGAGTGGATTTTAGCACAGATTTCCGGGATGTGAAAATGGACAAGACGAATTAATTTTAGCATTGAGGTAAATGAGATGTTTTGTGATGTCATAACGCTGTCTTATCCGCAGGGGGCTGGCTTGTCTGCAGCTTTTCACTCCTGTTTAAGACTAAGACCACCTGATTAAACGAGAGGAATCAGGTGAGCTCCTCCTTGTTTTGACTGAAAACCTGCAGCCATGCTGGCTCCGTGTGCACAAGACTGGACAGCCCTATCATCACGGACTGGTTGAATGGCCGGGTCCTTCTATAGGATTAAATGAAATGTTCCCTTTTAGTTATTATTATTATTATTATTGTTTTGTGCAGTGAATTAAATAAGGAAACTGGGAGGTTCTCCTGTCTTGGGTTGGTCAAAGAAGGCCAGTGGGAGCTACTTTCTCCATCCTATGCATTCGAGGATCTTTCCAAAAAGTATGCTGGAAGCTATTATTGATCATTTTAATGTGCCTCATATTACTCTGGGGGAAGGAAACACACATAAATATACACACGCTCACACGGTATGTGTGCTTTTCACACCATTGCACTCTCTTAGCAGCACCAAGGTGCTAAGGATGCAGTGAGCTTGAAGCTGTTTGCACTCTGCGTCTCTCCAGAGGACTATTTACACAGAAACTCTTTTAGTGCAATGACTCGGCCTGTGGGTTTCCTTTACGAGCCGAGGGCTCTGCTGCGTCGTCTGGCTGTTTTAGAAACACTTAAGAATCACGCTTCGGGCTGCAGACTCGGGAGTTTTGCTGCGGACCCGGCTGCACGCTCTTCAGTGCCTTAGCACGACCTACACAACTACAATCCTAATGAACTTTTTATACACTTTCTAATCTTTGTGTCCTGTTGTATATTGATTGTGTACAGATGCTAAGGTTACTGTGTATAATTGGGGGCGTTTGTACATGGGAGAAAGGATGGGATCGGAATTGGGATGCGGACCTGTGTGCCTTGTAAGTGCAGTTGTTTTAGAATATTGTGGGTTTTCTTTGATTTTTGTATATTTGGAAACATCTGCTGCATATCGTCGAGAAATCTACCTTGTGCCTGCTGAGAAAAACCAGAAACAAACAAAAAAAAAAACACCAAAGAGTTTTGAGGTCAAAAGCCCCTCGTCTCCCCAGGGTGCTGCCTTCTCCACAAGGATGCGAGACCCAAAGGAGGACACTTTAAATGTTTTTTCCCCTCATTTTGCTTAGTTACTTTTCTGTCCATGCAGTTCTACTCTAATACTCTCTAATCCGTTTTGCATGGAGTTTATACTGTATGTGTCCACTGAGCAGGTGGATCTAATGTTTGATTAGATTTATAACTGAAGTCTGACAGACAGACCCCATTATTTACAATGTTTATTTTAAACCTATTTTAAAGTTTTTGTCACCTGTGGTTGTTTCAGCCACATGCACAAGTCCTCTCATGCTAATAATATGCAAATGAAAAAACGTGGCTATTAAAAGACTATTACCTCAAAGTTGTTCATGTTGTCTGTTGTATTTGGTGCTTGCCTGAATATAAAACATAACTTATATTTACAGTTTCCCATATATATATATATATATATATATATCGCTGTTGTCAGAAGAAAACCTCGCATCTCCCAATTGACAACTTTTCAGGAGAAGGAAAAACTTGCTTTACTTACAATGTAAGTCAATGGAACCAGAGTTTTTTCCAAGTAATTCTGGGCCGTTTCTTTTGGTCTATTTATCATGAAATTTATGTACAACATAAAGGGTAACAGGTATTTTTAAAATTGTCAAAAACTGAAAAATGTCAAAAATGGAGATACAAGGTTTTCTTCCGACAACATCCATTTTATATATATATACCAGGCATAACATTCTGACCACCTCCTTGTTTCTACGCTCATTGTCCATTTTATCAGCTCCACTTACTATATAGGTGCACTTTGTAGTTCTACAGTTACAGACTGTAGTCCATCTGTTTCTCTGATACTTTGTTAGCCCCTTTTACCCTGTTCTTCAGTGGTCAGGACCCCCATGGACCCTCACAGAGCAGGTACTATTTGGGTGGTGGATCATTCTCAGCACTGCAGTAACACTGACATGGTGGTGGTGTGTTAGTGTGTGTTGTGCTGATGCGAGTGGATCAGACACAGCAGTGCTGCTGGAGGTGGTCATAATGTCATGCCTGATCGGTGTGTGTGTGTATATATATATATATATATATATATATATATATATATAAATGTGTGTGTGTGTGTGTAAATGTATATAGTCTATCAAGACTTGTTTGGTGTCTGAATTTTGCTTTAGTTTTGCTCTGAGCTACAAGGCCATTGTAACTACAAATTAATGGAAATGTGCACCAATTTTTACTGAAGTGTCAGAAAACACGTAATCGGGTCTATTAAAGACAACCGAACAACTCTACACGGTTTAAGACAAGCATGGTGATTCAGGTATGCTTTTAGCGCTGTGCTAATCGGTGATGTGAGCTTCTATTACTTTTTCTTTAAAGTGATGGGTTGAACCAAGTATATGTAGGGAAAACATTAAAGTGCAGCATGTAAGATTCAGTGGCATCTAGTGGTGATTTTACAGATTGCAACTAACAGTCCTCCTTCCTCACCCCTCCCTCTCCAAGTGTGTAGCAGAACCTATGGTGGCCGACAGGTTTTCTGCCGTCGTCTGTCCCAGTTTCGTTTTGCTTCGTTTTTCTCCTCTTTGATGGCGAAAATTCACACCTCTCTCACTTTTTCTTGTGCTAAATAATAAGTTTGATCCTTCGTTTGACAAAATTTGGGTTCTCAAAATTCTCACAACACAAAATGGTCAGCAGCACCAGCAGTAAGCACTGTTTCTTTTTCTACGTCTTCCAATCAGAGCTACAGCACCACTGCATTCAAGCTGCTGCTTCAGCGTAAAAATGTGAAAAAAGCGCCCTCTAGAGGCAGTGTTTGGTTTGTCCATTCTGGGCTGCAGTAGAATCATAGTGGTGCAAACGGCGGCCTCTGGTTGAAGAGGTGCCGCTCCCTATATAGATATGAAGGGCTCATTTTAAGCTAACGGGAAGACAACGATGCATAATTCCAGGTGATTATACATGTTCCAGTTCTGATAATAGATCCCCCTACATTTTACACACTGCACCTTTAAGACCTCTATCTTTTGTTTTCAGAGTGAAAAACGAAGAATACTGCACATTGGTCCAAGACAATTCTTTTATTCAATGACAAAAAGAAACAACTGTTTATTTAATGCAATGGTTCCCAGCCCCGCCCAGTGCCTGCTCACACACAAACTCAACCTGTAAGCCATTTTCCAGACTCAATCAGGGAAACATGCGAAAATGAGCAGAGCCTGAAGTCCTCAGGACTGGAAACCAGCAATTTAGTGTGAGACGGTAACGGACACGTGCTTTTCTGTTTCGGTGGAATACTGATCTAACAAAAGAGGTATGTATTACAAGTCAAAAATGAATGTTGCCAAAGATCTAAGCACTAAAAAATGTGGGCAGCTGGTTCCCCAGAATTACACTGCGCTCAAGCCCCGCCTCCGTGATAGCTGCCAGTCTGACCACGCCCCCTGAAGAGCCATCTCGTTCCATAGCCAGGGCCAAAGCTGAAGAGATGGAGAGAAGTAAGAAGAACAGGTGAGTATTTATGGAATTCAGGGTGGGGTGGAAAAATGCACCAGTGAGTGTTGCATGCATTAATCTGATTCAACTGCACTGATCTGGGAAAGTCAGAAAGGACAATACTAGTACACCACTTTTACCCAAAATAAAAATCAATTTTAAATAAAATCATTTTAAATAAGAAAAGTTAAAAATATGCTATGCAAGTTTTGGGGATTTGGAGACCCCTCTGGTGGAAATGTGTAATTGCAATTGCATGCAACGTGTGAAAAAAAACATTGTGCAACATGGGTTGTCCTTCAGATCCCTCCCACCAGGCGGATGAATCTGATTATTGAAAGAGAATTCAAACAGAAATCAGTGAAAACCTGGTGAAAGACACGTATCCGAGGATGCGAGGGAATCATCTAGTACTGTCATAATCGTCAGTTTAATGTTGATTTTGAGATCATTTTAGGACTGAACATTGAGCCGGACCTTCTTTTTGAGTCTGTGTGTGACGCTAATACATAAAAAACGTAAGTCGTGGTGTGAAAAACTCCCGACCCGACGCCTCTGACTTTTAAATTACTATTTCAGGCTTTACAGGCCGACTCACAGCAGCGCACACTCACCATGTTTTAGCCTGTTTTTATCCTCCTTACTCAGTAATGACACTTCTTACACATTAAACTGAATCAGCTTACACAGTATATATCTTTAATATTGCTTTCAATTACTTCTCACTATTTTATAAATAGTTCCTCCAGTCACATTTGTGTATGGAGTGCATTTTAAATAATAATTCTGGGGGCTAAAATCTGAGATTTGAAGAAGTACCAAAGTGTTTCCTACCTGAACTGTGGAGATTTACACCCTGATTCTCTATGATAGTAACAGTTGCTGTATACATCATATTAGGAGGGGGGTACATTAATTAAAGGTAAACTTCACCAAAGCCGCTTTTCCACTGCATTGTACCAGCTCGACTCGCTTTTGGTACCAGCTATTTTGTTTTCCACTGCAGATATAGCGCCCCCTCAGTGTAGCTGGTAGTCATAGCAGCGTCAAATGAAACTGCCGAGACGTGAAGGAGATAAATTTTGCTTAGAAGAGGCTGATGTAAGCAAGAGAAAATAGAGTTTGGGAAAAACTACATCAGAGTTCAGACGACAAGATGATTCTGGTTGTTCAAAAAAGGCGACGCAAGAGGCTACGCTAACCTGGCAGCTAACATTAGCATATGTGTTTAGCGATTCTCTCCAACCAATCAGTAGCCTGCAGCATTTTTACACCACCTTATGGTGTCAGCTCAGCTCGCTTGGAACCTCGACGGACGTGCTACCAAAAAGGTACCAGATTTACCTAGCGGAAAACCAAAAAAGTGTAGAGGTAAGTAGAGGCGAGCCGAGACGAGCCGGTATCATGCAGCAGAAAAGCGGCTTAATTAGGAATGCTAAAATTAATTTAATCTCCATCAGTTGATGTTTAGTTGACATTTCGAGGTGATGTCACTGAGCCGTGCCTCGCCCCATTCCCAAACTCCTTACTCACCATCAGCAGTGAAGCGCAGACACTCCTCCTTGGTCATCCCCGACTTGTATTTGGAGTCGATGAAGCCGTAGATGTAGGAGCTTCCAGATCCTCCCACTGAGACGGGCTGCCTCACCAACATCCCGCCCATAGGCACAGTGTACACCTGCAAACAAGGAAGAGTGTGAAGAACCAAAGCAGGTGGAGATGATAGACAAGAAGATATTCTGGTTTAAAAGAACAAAACCGAGAGGTGGCCGATATGGCAGAAATGTAAAATCACAATCATTAAACACGTTTTGACAATACATGATACGTCCTGATATGATACAATGATTTATACTGAACATTTCACACACTGTGCTGCACTAAACCTAATTAAACACCTCTAATTTTACACAAACATGCAGTTGGGAAGTACTGATTATATCCACAGTACACTCAGAGAAGAGTATTTTGACATACTGTGACGTAATTTAATCACAATAACGATAAATACCATCTTACTGCCCAGCCTTAGTTTGTATTGCCTTGACTGACAGCGGTGTGGGCAACATGGCAGAAATATATCACCACAAAAATTTTAAGACAACATGTATTACAATATTCTGCTTTTCTGAAATTTGATAAGTGGGAACAGACAAAAAAAAATGTGGCACCACATTTAAAAAATAAATATGGTCAAAAACTATGAACATAATGGTTTTGTGAAACTGGAGATCTGTGGCATCCCTACCAGAAATTCATATTAATTCCCTAATTAATAAGCACTGGTTTGGGGAGATAATTAGTAAAACAACAGTTTTATGGTTTTAACACACCTGTCCGCCCCTCCGTTTATCCCACCCTGCTACGATGATCCCAGCCATCAGCTCCTCTCGGTATCTGTAGCACATCTGCTTAAACAGATTAGCGGCTGTCTGCACCAGCGGAGGCTCGTCCAGCTCAATACTAGAGGAGAGAGAGAAGGAGCTGTTCAAACACAAGCACTGCAAATAGAAACCACACATTTTCAGCTCTATCCACACTGATTTTTGATAGTCTGGACAGCAAAACACCCATGAAATCCGATTTCTGGAAATCGGATCCAAGTCACATTTGGAGGTGGTCTGAAATCGGATTCCAATCAGATTTTTACTGCTGTGCCTCAGTCTGAACACTCTGGCCGCTCAAATCGGATTTTCAAACCGCGACGATATCAAATCCAGAGCGACAGAAGTGCTGGGATTCAGGAAGAGCTGAAAGTAGTGATGCAGTATGGGAGATGTAGTCTCACCTGTGAAAGCCAAGCTGGTAGCTGACCGCGTCAGCGATGGCCTGAGTGTCGGCTGCAGATCCGGAGCGACAACAGAAGATGCGCTCGTGAATAGGAGTGAGCTTATCCGTTACTCTGTTGGCGATGTAAGCTCTGGAGGAAACACATCAATAAAGAGAAACAGTATGAACTACACTGTGTAGTGCTTTTAAACAGTTTACAGCAACAACGCCTATTTCTGAAGAACCCTTCATAAACACAGCCTGTGCTGTGAAATACTTAAATCACACAGTGTGAATAATAACGAACCGTCAAAAAATATTTATAATAATTATTTATATTTATAAAAATAAACAAATATATAACCTTTAAACATAAGAACAGATACAGTAGTACTTAAGAAACTATATGATTTATGTTTGGCTGTGTAGTGCTTCTATAGTAATGCATGAAACTTTACTATCACATCCAGATAACTGTCCTGTAGTATCCTGTAGTAAACTACAGTATTTGTCCAAATGTACCATAAGTCTCTTATAGGAGTCGCTGTAGTAATAAGAAAAAATACAGAAAATGTAATCAATTAAAAATTAGAAAATTAAAATTATTATTATTTTTTTTACTTTTGTGTTCGGTATCCTGCCTGTTTGTCATTAACATTTTATGCTGGCTTGTCTTGCTTTTCACTTTATTTGTTTGCTTTATGTACTGTTTGTCTGTTGTCATGATTTCTGTCTGGCTTGTCCTGCTTTATATCATATTTGTGTGCCTTGTGTACTACAACTCTGTTGTCATAAATAAAAAAATAAATAAAATTTAAAAATAGAAAATAAAAGTACATAATTTTATTTGCCTTACTGTTTTTTAAATAAAAAGGTTGGAAAAAAAAGAAAAATAGTAACGAGGAAAAAAGGAATAATAATGAAAATTAAAATGATTTTATCTGCACTATAGCTGTTAAAATTAAAGCTAACTGAAAACAAATTAATCATCATCCAAGTGAACAGACTGTTCTTCATACCCTGTTGTTGTACGTGAGTCTGCACCGATCACCACGCCTCCTTCAAACTCCACCGCCATGATGGTCGTCTGCAAGGACAGTTTAATTCATCACTGTTGGTTAATGTTCAGTTTGTGTGAGGAAAAGAACTCAAAAGGGCCCATTTTATATATTTTTATATTTTTTTTCCCTCTGAAGATCCACTTATGTACAAAAAATAAAATAAATAATATAAATAATAATAATAATAATAATAATAATAACTTACTGTTACATTACACTTTTCCAACCTCTCTTTTTGCCTGATAATTAAACAGGCTGTTTTCATTACTGTCTCTTTAAAAGACTGATATATTTAAATAGCCCCTGTTCTCACTGGCTGCTCATTTAAAGAAAAAGAGCTGCAACACTCCTCATAACTTCAGCATGAGTGGGTGGGGCTAAACTGCTGTCACCTGACTAGGTGGATATATTTCAATGAGCTGGTTTTCGTGACATCACAAAAAGAATAAACTCAAAACGAGCTGTTTTTGCAGCTCAGATTCCTGTATGGACACCTAAATATACATCCATCCTATTCTGCCTACAGCAGTTTAGCCCCGCCCCCTCGTACTGAAGTTATAAGGAGTGTTTCAGCCTTTTTTTTTTTTAATGAGACAGCCAATCAGAATGGAGCTCATTTACATAAATCACAAGGCATAAGTATCAAAAACAGCCTGTTTAATTCTAAGGGGATAAAGAGAGCTTAGAAAACTGTCATGTGAAAATGAATTTTGATGGTATTGGTATTTAAACATGCACACATGATGTAAGTGGAAAAATAAAATAAGAAAAATGCAGAATACTGGCCCTTTAACGGTGTGATACCCACTATATCAAATGTGTTGGGCACAGAGTAAAATCACTATAATGTACGGCCGCTAGTAGATTACTGCTTTTATAAAATATGAAAAAACATACGACAAAGTTTAATCTCTCATTTCTCCCACCAAGCAATGTAGTTTGCCGTTTGAAGGTTATGGTTGCCAAGCAACACACCTGTCAAATATGATTTCATTAAATGGTAAACACTAACCTCCTCATATACAGCCACGTGAACAGACAAAAGCTTATTTCTTGAGCTTTTTCTCAATTATTTCACTTTATTATTATTTATATCACAGTATTTCTGGTTTGAACAGAGAAGCAGGCAAGCAAACATGCTTGAGCAGAGGATCAAACTGAGGGTCAAACAATTTGAGACAACACTGCAAACATATCCCAGATCTTTAGCCTATTACTAGGGTTACTATTACTGGTGTTATTACTAATTAAAATGTTTTTATTACTATTTTTATTATTTATTTATTATCCGTTTTCCTTTCCTCTGCATATCCCCCTTTTGATCCATTAGTTATTCCTACTCTTCATCTTGTATACTAGTTTTTCATCATCATTTTACAGCCTTATTTGTTCTGTTAAACAGCACAAATAAGCAACATAGCAAACGTGTTAGAACTCAATTTTTCAAAATTCCTGCATAATTAGATGGTTAAGATGTAAACAGAGCGGTTCAGAGTGGTTTGGCGTGAAACTCTCTGTTCTAGAGAAACTTACCGAGTCAGAACTGTTCACAGTGGTGGTGATAGGAACCAGACGTCCACCTCTAAAAGCTCCCTCACAGAAAGTTACTACATGAAACGGTTATGAATTCACTGCCTGATGACTGAGACACTGTTTTACGATAGTTTTGTGAGATTTTTTTGGTCTAAAATATGTATTTTAATACATGTAACACAGACACAAACACACAGGACGTTGTAAGAGTGTTTTTTTTTTATTTTAACACTATTTTACTCATCAACATCACATATAAAGCTCGTGTAGGTTCAGCGGTCGTTTTGTACAGTAAATAAAAAGTTTACATTCACACTGTAAACACTGCAACTCCTGGTTCCCATCACCACCGCCGCCTCTGTGAGAAAGCCAAGTCTCTATAAGGCACCATTTCACACCGAAAACACTCTGAATGACTTCGTTTACATCGTAAAGATGAACTTTTGCGTGAAATTTGGGAAGTCGGTGGAATTGCCCTTCATGTTCTACACACTACTTCAATACAAAACTATAGAAGAGACCGGGTTAGCATGACTAGCGTTAGCTAATGACTAAGTAATCTGAGCGGCCTTCCCATCACATTTTCTCATATAATTATAATAATAAGAAACAAATAATGACCCTAAATGAAGATAAAACACCCCAAACATCTGATAAAGAGCGTTTATCGGCTCCCTCGCGCTGTAAAAGTGAAGTTATTCTTTTATTCCCGCTCTGGCTAGCATCGAAGGCTAACGTCGCTAGCACGACACCGCTCTCTCCTTCATTAACCCGGAGCGGCCGGGCCGACCCGACTCTCCTTCATGCTGCAGACAGACTCCGCTGTCCGGACTCACCCCGGTGCTGACTTCTTGCCTCTCCCAGCTCGGTACCGCATCGCTGGGGCGAGAAAACTGCTCGACCCGGGTCTCCAGCATGTACGCCGCCATCCTGCTTCACTAACAGCGGCTTCAGTGTGGAGCTGTGGGTGAAAATCCGCAGAGCCCTCTTTACCGCCCCCTACGGATCCGGCGAGAAGTAACAGTTCTGTTTTTCTATCTAAAGGGCAACTCCACCGATTTTTCAAAATGTCTGCACAATTCAATAACGGATCAGAAATCATAGCGACCGGCATCAGAAACTCGGACCTGAACATTTTTTGGGACCTTAAATCTATACCTGCATATATAGATTGACACCTTGTATATCTTCTATCTATATCTTGTACATTATATGATATGTAACCCCTGTGTACCCTGAGATACCTCAGACTCACTAATTGCATGTATGGAAATGTGTACTCAGTTTCGCACCAGTGTAAATGAGGTGTGACAATAAATGTGATTTGTATGGAGCCCCGCTGGTGACATCCTGTATAAATAAAAATAATGCGTGGCCACAACTTGGTAAGGCATGGGAATGAGATGATTAAGTCGTGGTCATGACTTAGTAAAGCTTGGGAACAAGATCCTAATGCGTGGCCACAACTTAGTAAGCCGTGATCTCGTTCCCACGCCTTACTGAGTCATGGCCACGCATTAGGATCTCGTTCCCATGCGTTAATAAGGAGTGGCCACGCATTTTTTTTTTATTTATACAGGATGTCGTCATCAGGGCTCCGTAGATCAGAGATCATAGCGACCGGCATCAGAAACTGGGACCTGAACATTTTGGGACCTTAAATCTATACCTGCACATATAGATTGACATCTTGTAAATCTTCTATGTATATATCTTGTATATTATATGATATATAACCCCTGTGTACCCTGCATCTCATTTGTCTACCTCAGACTCACTAATTGCATATATGGAAATGTGTACAACTGTACATATCATAGCTATTATTTCATAAACTATATTACTGTTACAAAACTATACATTGGAAATGGTGCATTACTGGTGTATATTATTGTGTATATGTAGAGTCTAATGTGTACATATTTGTATATACTTTTTATTTATTTTTGTATTTAAGTACTACAAGGGGTCTATGCACCTAAGATTTCACTCAGTTTCGCACCAGTGTAAATGAGATGTGACAATAAATGTGATTTGTGTGGAGCCCCGCTGGTGACATCCTGTATAAATAAAAATAATGCGTAGCCACGACTTAGTAAGGCGTGGGAATGAGATGATTAAGTCATGGCCACGCATTAGGATCTCGTTCCCACACGTTAATAAAAGCCACATATTATTTTTATTTATGCAGGACGTCACCAGCGGGGCTCCGTAGATTTGATTTGATTTGAAGTTAAATTATTTTATCCGCTGATTTTAGTTAAAGGGGAATGAGATGTTGAGATGTAAACAGAACGATTAAGAGCGGTTTGGGTCAGGATTCTTTACAGTGGACTAAGAAATCAGACTGCTGTTTACACGACCATTTGAATAAACAGATAGCTGCAGAAATCCGATTTTAATCAGATTGTTGGGTGCAGTTTTGTAGTTTTTCCAGATGCCAATGTCATTTAACCTCAGTCCCGTTTCAGGAAAGCATGCAAAAAAATAAATTCATCTCTGCCTCTATGACTAGTATATGTAAATAAGCTCCGTTGCGATTGGCTGCCGTGTACTGCGCCTCATTCAAAAAGCAGTCCAGGCTGTAACACTTCTTATAACTTCAGTGTGTGTGGGCGGAGCTAAGCTGCTGTAGGCTGACATACACTCTAAACACCTCAGTGCCTCAGCTGCTGGACTGAGAACCACAAACATCCAGCCAGCAGCGTCCTGTGGGCAGCGTCCTGTGACCACTGATGAAGGACTAGAGGATGACCAACACAAACTGTGCAGCAGCAGATGAGCTATCGTCTCTGACTTTACATCTACAAGGTGGACCGACAAGGTAGGAGTGTCTAATAGAGTGGACAGTGAGTGGACACAGTGTTTAAAAACTCCAGCAGCACTGCTGTGTCTGATCCACTCGCACCAGCGTAACACACACTAACACACCACCACCACATCAGTGTCACCGCAGTGCTGAGAATGACCCACCATCCAAATAGTACCTGCTCTGTGAGGGTCCATGGGGGTCCTGACCATTGAAGAACAGGGTAACAAAGTATGCAGAGAAACAGATGGACTACAGTCTGTAACTGTAGAAGCTGTGGAGCTGATAAAATGGACAGAGAGTGTAGATACAAGCGGGTGGAGCTGATAAAGTGTCAGTTTTTGTGACGTCACAAACATGAATAAATTCAGAATGGGCTATTTTGGTAGCTTAATTTCCATCTATGGACTGTATGGAGTGTTTTTGAACTCAGTATATCCCACTCTTACTTCCAAAAGTCCCAGTTTTCCATGACATGGGCCCTTTAATGTTAAAAGTGAGTAATGTAACTTCAGTCCCAGCAGAGAGAACCTTTGATAAACTGAAGGAGAGTTCTGTGTAGCCCACTCTCCGCTCTGTGGTTGGGGATGCAATTACACGAGCAGAAACAAAGTGGTGCCGTCTTACAGGACTGGGCTGTATTGATTGTGAAATGTTTCAAACACAGAGCGGCTGTGATTCGCAGGGGGTTTGCTAAGAAAGAGCCGGAAACTGCACACTTTGGTGGCGATGCCGCTGTATTGATCCGCCTACAGGCCGAGGATGGATCACCTTTCGCAGTGGGCCTCGGGGACGGCGCTATAAAGGCTTGGACTGTCAGTCCGGACTGTAAGTCTTCGCCCATTAGTGAGTTTTAGTCTGTTGTCTCTGAAATATTTCAAATTCCTGTCCAGACCAATCAGCTGCAGCAGCAGGTCCCTTGTGTGTCGTTGATTTAATAGCAGATCTGAACTGAAGTGCTGCATTAAGTTTACTTTGAGCGCCTGTGTTACTTCCACTTAAATAAAATCTAACACATAAAAGCAATTATTGCCAAAAGATGCAATTTAACAAATTCAAAGTAAACTAATGTTAAAGCTGCACCGTTTCGAGAGATGTTACAATGATTTAAATGTTTCAAACATAAAACTATGCTAAACTACTTCATGTTTACCTTTTTTAATAGTTCACCTAATCTGCATATATGATTGGACGGTCGTGCCACTTGACATTTTTAGACTTTTGGATGCATAAATGCCAGAAATTTGTTGTATTTTGTTGCACTGAAAATGTGTTCACATAAAGAAAGTGTTGTAGAATATCATGATATTTGTCATGTATTTATTAGATTATTGTAAATGAAAATAATGAGCTTTGAAACAAAAAATGCACTCATTCTTTCAGAAAGACAAAAATTTTTTTAAAGTAAAATAAATGTAAAGATGCATTCATGAATGTCCAAGAATCTTTTTAATGTGTCGAAGTTTGTCTCATAGCTTTTATAATCATATCCGTTCCTTTATAAAACAGGATCATCAGTTTTACCACCCAGAGACTGTCGCTGTCGTGCAACCACAGATTCTTTAAAAAATATATTGTAAAGTCATTTACCGCTATTGAAAATTGGTACAAACTAGCCTTTGTACTTGAACCTTTGTACATATTTTCTTTTAAATAAATGATCATTATAATAAAAATTATAATTACATGTTTTGATAGCTTTCTTTGGGTCACACCACATGACCGAACCAGCCTAATCATGATGCAAAAGTGACCATTTTTTCAATATTTGTGAAAGGGCTGCTGACCTCGGCATTGCGCCAAGGCTGTCACTTGGGATGTCCTTTATGATGCAATAACCTGCCCACTCATTGTTAAAAGCATGTCAGAATAAAAGTACTTTGTTGTAATAATATACATTTATAGACAAAAATGTTGCAATGCGTCAAATATATTTAAAGCTGCCCTATTTTGCAAAATGTTATGATGATTTAAAGGACACATAAAACGATGCCAAACTACTTTATATTTTATACTTTTACCTTTATTTTTAGTTTACCTAATCTGAATATATGACTGGACGGTTGCACCACTTGACATTTTTAGACTTTTGGATGCATAAATGCCTAAAATGAACTATTTTGTTGCACAGAAATGTGTTCACATAAAGGAGGTGTTGTGGAATATTGTCATATATGTTGTGTATTTATTAAATTATTTTATATGAAAATAATGAATTTGTAAATAAAAAATGCACGTCATGTCAGTTATTTGAATGAAGTATATTTATTGTATCACTGTTTTCAGTATAGAGTTTTTTTTTTACATTAGTGTCCATAGGTGTAAAGTTGCTATAGAGCTATAAAACACTGCATGGCCACATTATTAGAAACCCCTACTCCTCAAAAAAAAAACCTGGTCAATGGTGGCCCTGTGGTGGTCTTTTTTCTATTGCTGAAAGGGATAAAGAGGGGCTGATGAACAGTGCAGTAACAGATGGGCTTCAGTCTGTACCTGCACACTTATAGAGCAGGTGTTTCTGATAAAGTGGCCAGTGAAGCTTCACTGTGTGGGGGGCCGCTTCTACACTCTTTAATGAAACACAGCTGTAGATGGTGTGTAAGCTGTTGTAAGCCTCAGAGCTGAAGCGTGTAACTCCTCAGGATCGGGTCTCCTGCTGATCCCTGAGGAGGTGGGCTTTAGACGGGCTGATGGATAACGAGCCCCGGCCTAATGAGCTTTAATTAATAGCATGCTTCTGATGTGCTTTGAGTGGTTCAATACATGCCTACATCAGCAACATCTTTTGCATAGCCAACAGCTACGACAGCAATAACAAAAGAACACAAGCATCACTGAAAGCATTAAAGCTTAACAAATGATAGAAATTAATTTATTTGATTTAAAAGGCCCATAAAATACAAAACTGAATATTTCTCTTCTCCTATGCAATAAAAGTGAGTTTGATGTACAACGTACTGTTTGCTCCCCAGTTCATACAGTCCACATATGGAAACTAAGCTGTGAAACAGCCTGATTTGAATTCACTGTTTTTATGATGTTTTATGATGAAAACCTCACACTGCTTTTTGAATGAGGCACAATGTAGGATAGTCAATCAGAAAAGAGGTAATTTGCATATATCAGTCTTGAAGGTGCAGCTTGTATTCTGAGGGATAAAGAGAGGCTGGAAAATTGTCACGTAAAAAT